GCAACGTTCAACAAAGCATATATGCTTGATATGACTAGAAGCTAGCATTGCAATCAGGCCTGAAGGCTGAAGGGTGAACTCCGTTAGCACTGATCAACTAGAAATGCAACATCGATATGTACGTACGTGGTGCTGTTCAGTTTCAATATCTCACGTCTCCATCCACCGAACCACTCCAGAGTTATTTTCCAGCACAGAAAAACCTCTCTCTTCGACTTGATTATTAGATTGGCAAATTCCCGACGGTCTTCGCACCCCAAAGGTGTTTCGTCAATGAATCTGACTAGAGATATCGTGAGCTAGAACCACTTAAACTACTATATGAACACACATTATGGGCCATGCAATTGTAATTGACGCCTACAATTGCGTTATCACTCAAGTTTAGCCAGTAAATCTGCAAGTATCGAGACCGGTGGTGATAATGAGATCGAGCACATCAGGCAACCTATACAATTGTGGTAATGCAAGTAGTTATTTTGCACTTCGTCACACCATCTGCTATCAAAGTTTCTTCACATGTGTTCGTGAGACGTTAATCTCTTCAGACGCCAAGACAACTATATCTGCCGCCGCGGGCAGATCTCACTGAGAACCCTGCGCCGGCCATTTGGTAAGGTTCCCGTGGCAAATTTCATTACGGCACGGGCCGCAACTTGGCCGATTCGATTCCCCAATCGCTTGTTTTGGTACAACCTATTTCAATGTTCCCCGGTTCTAGAATTATCGATAAGCTGGGCAGGCTATTGTATGTACTACATCTGAACTTCAATTTATCATGTGACTCGCTATTGGTGAGAATTAGAAAGTTCCGCACTTAGCCATGCCATATAACCTCTGAGACTTCTAGTAACTCGATCCGACACTCGAAATCCGACCGCTATAGCCGCCTATGAGTACGTATGTAGTTATCGGTAAATGGCATTTCCGCTTGAATATAATCACATATGGAAGTCCCATTCACCCCGTGATTCTCGTCTGTTGTATAGAGGGTACGATAATTTTCATTTATATATATATATGAACCGAGAAGGCAGTGCAGATGCATGGTCATGAGCCATAGTCCGTCACAAGTGTTACGTTTCGGCATAACAAGCAAATAAGAGAACAGTTGCGGGGTCGTGCACGATTGCTGGGTGCTATATCTGCCTTTCTAGATTTCTTATTACTATCGATATCGACGTCAACGTCTCACAACACGCACCCCGCGAAAACCGCAACGCTCGGGGTCGAAGAAAACTATCTCGATCCTGTTACCATATTGAAAACCGGGGCTGGATTTGGGATGTATACGTGTACGTATACACCAGGGTTTACTGAAGTAATTGCGTAACCAAGACGCACTGAGATTTTGTCCAGAACCATTTTCTGACGACTCTCCGAGGTTGATGTATGGTCATTCGTAGGCCGCGGGGTTGTGATTAAATATACGCAGGTTAGTTTTATTGAGAATATGGATGCATCAATGATCACTCGGCCTGTATTTTTCATGCTGGCAGAGCGTGAGGCTGGTGCCACAAAAGAACTCCAAGAAATATTAGATGGATGCCTTATCATCTGGAGGTGAGGGCTGCACATGCAATGCTACATTAATTTCCGCCTATGCCTAAATATAGCCAATGAAAGTGGTTTTCTGAGGCACAAGAACAAACAACTGCACCAGAAAAATCTCGATCTTCGGAAACTCTCATTGAATTCGTAGATACGGAGTGATACGGATGCTACGAAATTTGAATTAGTAATGCTAGTACAATATTATCTAAACAATACCAAAAGCAAGTGATAAAGAGTTGAAGCTTTATCACATGAACCGCTAGACTGAATTAAAACCAGTGAAACCTAACGCGATACTTATGGAAATCTTGAAAATAAAAACTCTCAGCATGTGAGTAGGCTAGATTATATCGTTCTGCGTCATAATTTGTCTAAGCATATCTGGGGCTCGAGATCTTAGAGACAGTAGGCCGATAGGACATAAATTACTGACGGGAATTTGGAAGATTATAAATTAAAACTGGTATTGATACCCTTGATATAAGTCTATAAGAATTGTTTAGTATAGGTCGTGACGTATTGTAAATATTGAGGGAACGAATCAGATGTAACAGAATGGACGGATACGGAAAAATTAGAGACTTAGAAATAGCCGTCAAAGGTAGGATATACTCAAGCCCGACGTGTGGGGGACCGGATCTGGCCCGGTACCATGATTATCACAGTTTTTTTTGCCTATTGGTTTTCGACGGTCCGTCAACGATTGCAATAGCCTAACACACTATGAGCTTTGAATTAATTAGATGGTGAGTCACTATCTACCCAGTCCACGGTAATGACCACGGGAGAGACATATATGTACCCAGATCGAACACAGCAGCTACAGTCGGTTGGTCGATGCAAAATCTGCCGGGTCGAGATCCTTTGATGCCTTCAAATTTATCAGAGATATAGTCGCGCGTTAATTAAGTCCTGAGAAATTTTGTGAGGTCGTTGCTACCAAGAATTCTCAGGGCTTAATTAATGCGTGCTAATTGATGTAATATATTTGTATCGCCTGGTGGGCCGAAACATGCTCAGAATCTGGTGTTCTGCAGCCTTGGCAAATTTGGGCCAAAGGTTACTGTTTGTGGGAGTTTCTTGTTGAAATCTCAACTGTATTATTACCCTGTACGGCAAGCAAGCACCGGGTTTGTACAGTGTGCAGAGCACCAGATTCTGAGCATGTTTCGGCCCACCAGGCGATATTGTCTTTGTAATACCATCTTTCGGATAATGGCCCAGTAAAGCTTTGTGTCTTCACCAGTTCGACCGTAAAGTATTCTTTTTTGAGTCACGATCTATTATAGTAGCCAGTCTAGATTGTTTCCTCCGGCATAGAGATTAGGAAGGAAGTACGTGGGTACTTTACGCCTGTGACATCTCGATATCCGGATAGGATATTTTCTAGACAATCAAAGGCTAGGATAGCCTTCCAATATTTGTTTCTCCAGTTTAATCTAGTTTTCATAACAGTTTAGTATTCCGAAACTTAACTGATCGTGGTGGGTGTTGTAAGAACTTTAGAAAACGGAGCAACAGTCCTGACCTTAGATACTAAAGAGACCGCCTGAGAAACGCTTTCAAGGGAATCTGCTTAATGACTTGGGGCCTAAGCGTTTAAGAATGGACCAAGACGGAGTTTTGTGGTCAAAAACCCCGCTGCAGATAGAAATTCGTTTGAGAAAATGAATTGTGTTTGGCACGCCATTTTTCGCGTGTAGAAAACAACATTGTCAGATTTTTCAAATTAGCGACTTTGACTTACATTCACCCCCTAAACCACCCATAAGTTTCGTTAGAGTATTCCTCCATTTACGACCCGCTGGCGGGGGTATGTATAGCGGGGCGGGGTTTACTATGATCCGCCCCAAAACTAGTCTTCACTAATTTCCCTTAGAGTTAGTCGTGAGGATAGACAAAGGGATGCTTCCCCAATACATGTCTAATAATGTTGGGGATGAGCTAGACCTCGTCTCATCATATTTATCACCTGTAGCTAGACTTAAAATGTGTAGGAAGGATTTTTTTCTTTTGGTCGGTTGCAACCTTTGTTTTTCTCTTCAATATCACAACGTGGGTCTTAACGGTTTTTTGCTGTTGATAATGGTTCTACAGTGTCCGGTAGAATTATTGCGAAAGTCAGAACTAAAAGGGTGGGTTTCTTGGCCCGTGCTCACTGCAAAAATTCCTTTGAGGGCCAATGGGACTATCGGGTCACGGAAAACCCACTTTCGCATTAATTCTACCACAATCTGTAGTATAGTTGGGACCCGTGACCTGGCTACCTGGGTTTCCACTCGTTTCTCCTCCTAGAATCAGACTTGACTACTCGTAGTTTTTTGACGTTTCCGGACGCGACCACTATTGCATGCCATACAAAAGATAGCCTTGGCGGGTTTTTTCTGTGTATGCAATAGCAGTTGCGTCCGGAAACGCTGTGAAATTGCGAGTAGGTGACTTGTATGCAATCGATTCGATTGTACCGGCCGGGCTGAAGTGACACTGGCTTAACCATAGCTACATGTAATTAGATATCTGACCGGTAAAGGAAATGCATGGCCTCGCCGGTCCGTATTAAGGTAAAGTTTACCGAGCGGGTAGTTTTTTTCGGGAAAGAGCTAGAGCGGGGGAACCAATGCTTAAGCTCATTAAATGTTGATTTGTAGTTGGAATCACTTCAACCCATGTAACTGCAAATCCACGTCATAAGCTGCAATTAGGTGATCGTGGATGGGGATGTCGAAGTGAAAGTGGGGGAAGTGATGTTGACTTTGATCTCGCGAATACCGATTGCTGGGTTGTAATTGTTGACCTAGGCACTGCTGTCGACTCTGATCTGAGGATCTGAGGTACTCTATCAATGAAGTGCATTGGTCACACTCGATCTCCAAAAGCTCGAATTCCGAGTTCTTGGCAGCGGTGAGGGCAATGGTGCCGCGCTGAACGCTATCACTCGTTAAATTAAGCCAATACAACTCTCTAGCGTGCTATAGAAAACTCAGTGAGAGAATTATTACAGTTACAGCGTTCAGCACAGTACAATTGCCCTCACCACTGCCAAGGACTCTCAAAATTTGGAAACCGGGCCTGGCAAATATATTAATATACACTCTAATTTTTCCGTCCTACAGAGTGTGAGGACTACAGTCGTTCACCGTCACTCGATGAATTAACGCGAAACTAATAATGGCAAGCAAGTATGGTAATAAACCATCCAAAGCTATTATTGATTTCTATTGGTTCAGATCTCCAGCTTGTTCGTTAACAAAGGGTATTCGTTGAGTAACTGTATACTAGCCTGTTCGTATTAAGGAACGGTTCAGGGCTTGCTGAATCAGTCTGCCGGCATGACAGCGCTAGCCCCTTCTTTGTACAACTGGACCACCGGTAACCAAAGTGGAAATACCCTGGCGACAACTTTACAACAAGAAATCTCTGTCACCCGATAGGAAAGATAAGACAATATGGATATTCCACCTTCCGAATCTTCAGACGAGCAGGCCGACAGCGTCTGGGTGCATTCATCTGATGACATGGGCCCCGTCAGCTGGCCAGCAGATCTCCTATGGCCGCCGTCAAACAACTATTCAAACCTCCGGAATTCTACCGAACGTCCTTCAGTGCCTTTTGCTGCTTCTAACATGAGAACTTGGTAAGGACAGGAAAATTGTGTTCTTAGGCGATTGTCTTCTTGCCACCCCATAGCTAGCTAGCTTTTAGCACATAGCCCATAGCCCACTTCGACTGACGTCGAGAGCACTAGGATCAGTCCATCATCGATCACAGTACCAGTGTTACACTGTTATTATCCCCCTTTACTCGCTCCAGTTCCCTCGGAAGAAGTTCTTGAACAAACGTAATACTATTTTGACTGAGGAATCTTGAATTTCCTCTCTGTACTGAATTGTTATTATCCCCTGCTGCGCCGATTTCTGATTATTTCCAGTTGGGCCAGGGTCATACAGTCGCACGAACGGCATACCGTTTCTGACTTGACAGAGGACATGACTACCCCTGGATTCAATTTTCGCCTATATAATACTACAGGCCCTAATGAGCTACCCGCGGAACCACCTATGAAGGTCCCTGGCTTCTCTGAATACATCACCCAAAGTCACGGAAACGACCAAAATCAATTTTTTAATTCAGAGCTACAGGAACCAGCGAGGGTAACATATGTGATACCAGGCGCAGACGAGATGACTTCGCACAATATGCGTATGGAAACGCACCAAAATTCATTGTCCTCAGAACCATACGGACATTTTGAAGAGAACGGTCTCCAGGTTCATTACCAGTCAACATTGTGGAGTAGAGATTCTCCCACCAGCTAATTCAGTGTTTTATTTTATCAAGTCAATTTCTACTCGAGCAACCCGTACTATGGAGTCAACCTCACCGGTATTACCCAATCCTCCTCGCCGGCCGCTACGTTCGAATTCGGCAAATATGACCCAGCTTCTCCACGAGGAGCCAGGTGGTAGATCTATGGCGCCGCTAATAACATCCTATTATCCTACGTCACTTGTGGACTCACCCAGCTCTTCAATTTGTGCGGTAAATTCCGCCTATAGCCACCAAATTGAACCGGACAGTCGTGACGTGGATGAATACAGACAAGGTCAAACCAGCCCTGAAAGTCCCTCGAGAATGTCTCATGATACCACTGGATCATCGTCATTTCCCTCCCCTGGGATATCTCCAAGTCACCTGCAACGTGCATCATCCACAGGCGGCTTGCGTTTCAACGCGGTTCAATCATTCCGAGGGTATGATCAACAATACTGGGGGCCTCCAAGACCTCATATTATTACCCGTTGGTCTCATACTGAGCCCCCATCACCCGCCGAAGATAATGCAACGACGATGAACCATGAGAAAAATAGAAGGTCATCTCTTAAAACCTGTGAGCTCGAAGAGGCAGGGCTTGATTTCCCCGGCTGCTATGTACTGGTTCCTACCACGGAAGATTCTACAGCTTCCTCTGAGACTGCGATTGTAGAAGGGCCCGAGCCAGGGTTAATATCTACGAAAAAGAATTTTAGAAGGCCAATGGTGGAATCTGAGAGACAGGCCATCAAGTTAAACAGAAAGTTCGGGGTTTGTCTTCGTTGCAAGATGTTCAAGGAAAGGGTATGACATTCTCAATCGAAAATGCCTTGAAATCCTTCTTACAATTCCTAGTGTAGGGGAGGTTTTCCTTGTGAACGCTGTCGGTCCTTGAGATTTTGGAAGAACATATGTGTTACAGCGCAGTTTACGGACAAGTCAATTTTCACCAGAGGTAATTAATTCTTGGGTGTAAAACTTCTTTGCTGACTTTTGAAGGGCTTTACAAATCGCGGGTATCGTTTATGTTGGAGAATGTTCGAGAATGGCTTCCTGCTGATTACCGCCATCAGGAAGTTATAGAGGTAGGTATTGGATACTCACACAGGCTTTCCATAACTCTGCAAAAGTTTGATCCTATAGATGCATCGCTCCTGGAGCATATTCTATGGAGAGAAATCAGGAAAACCGACTTTGCTCGGATACCTTCCTCAGCGTATGGGATAATTGCAATTGAAGATATCTCATCGCGGCTTGAGGTATATTTTGACAGTCACATCGGTGACCTTGTTATGGAAGCCCAGCGGAATGTAGGGACAACTTCCCACTCTGAAATATATGCGCAGACTCTATTAGCCGCACATCAATACGCGATCGATAACCCGGAAAAAGTGAGTTTCTACCTAATTATGAATAAATTTCATATGATCATGTACTGAGGTATTATACAAGGGCTTACTTGTACGAAAAGCCTTGCGCATCTGGGCTGCACAAATCGTTTTCTTCAAAGGTGTCTGGAGGATTGAAGGCACAAATACTGCTGGCATGCCGACGATCACTGACCGAAAGTCAACGCTCTTCGGGATGACCCCCCTACCCCGCTTAGCTAATCAACAGCTTGACGCTAAAGTAGAAAGCTGGATTGCGGATCTTGAGCGAGATGTACTTTCAGAGCTACAACACAAAATATTCCGTCGTAACTCCGCCGATTGGTTTGGAATATATCTCACCTTATTCGTAACATTGTGTAGCCTGGAAAGAGATACTTGGGGTCTTCAAACGTGGGCTTTCGATGCCGATAACTTACTTCAACGTGTAAACAACCTTGTAAGTAACCTGGTTGTTCATGTTGCTTAATTTACTATCCTATCGCGGATCCGTGCTAAAACCAATTTCAGGGTTTAAGTAGACCAGATGAAGTACGGAGAGCCTGGACATGGCCACTCCAGGAGACGCCGAGGGTGTTGATCGAGAAAAACCTGCATCTCGCGGAAACGCTTACCGCTCATTTTCGATCCGTTACTAAAGGATGGGTCCCTTTCACCCTTGACTGGCACAGTGACCCTGTCATCGCATTGTCGGGAGGAGAACATGTAGCCGTGGATTATATGAGATCTGTCTGCCAATGGATTAAAGACGGAGGTAAGAATATACGGATACTCCAACGTATTGTGGCTAAAATTACTAATTGGAATTATAGAACCCATCTTACGCGCCAGGGCTTCTGCAGAATATAGCAAGGATTTTTTTGATAGTTTAAATCTCATGTATTGTTCCAAGCTCATGATTTCTGACCGCGAGGATTCTTGACGCTTTGAGCCAGGATTGGATTGATTTATATTTTCGCATTTTGGCCTATCTTTCTCATTTGCTGGTTTTTTTTCTTGATTTCATTCAAAAGCCATTTAGGAATATCTTGTTTTGAAATTGCATATCCTTGGGTCAACGAAAGAGCAAACGAAGAACTTCGAGTATAGTATTATTTTTGGAAGTTTACAGATCTAATAATTGATGAGATGAGGAATTATCTACAATCTCGATTATCATAAGGATATATGAAAATGGGAATTTGTTTATCCCATTAAACAATCACTGCCTAAGCTGAGATACACAGATCGAGTACGTATGCTTATAAAGAGATTTGATTGTAGTCAAGAAAATTCGAAGGAAATCAATTAACCATCAATTAACTTGTGGTGGGTTGCATGATTAACGGCGCTAGTATTAGGAAATGTGAATAGCCGCGTAATCAATAGTATGTAGTATAGCTTACTGCCTAGCGCTACTAAAGGTGACTTAAATTCGTTAGTCAAGAAATGATCACAGTACAGATATATAAGACGATATATAGGATGTAACCAGTCACTTCACCAGCTACTAAATTCCCTGCAGCATGTTGCAGGTTGCAGGACTCGGCTCGCGGCGTAGATTTGATAAAGGTTGCGCTCGACCAAGAATATCTAATAATTAACGGTCCTCATAGCTGTACGGACGGCGGATTTAGTACACGAAAAAGCTTGGCCTGAATTCTGGTTGGCTGGAGCATTTAGTAAAAGTCTGTATTTTCCGCGAGGCCTCGAGGTCATTGTAAGATTTAGTTCAAGCCAAGAATACCTTCTTTGGTTTAAAGGTACGTATCTTAAAAAAGGTATAGCGACAAAGCCAGAGCATACTAAACCGGTACTAAATTACTCCTTCCAACACAGTGCCCTCACAGCATAAACTAGGCGGGCCAACTCTATTGGCTGCTAAACCTTCCGTACAAGGCCGTCCGTACAGCTATGAGGACCGTTAATATTATATAAGCATATTAATAGTCACAAACCACCTAGACAGGGCTGACAGTAACCGACCAAATAAACATGGGGAATCTACTAAACCAATCTAGGAAGATGGTTCCCATGGTGTGGTAGTTGGGATCGAGATTGTGGCAAACAGCATCTTGATCTACTTTTGATACTTAATTGTCCAGGTATCTAGAGTATGGCGGCGTTAGTTAAACAAATGGGTATGAGTCATATCAATTCTCGAGAATGCATGTATAGGTGTGTCAACTTAAATTATAATTGAAAGAGGTAGTTTAGGGCGTTTTTGGATTCACATTGCATTCGTAATCATAAGCTGATGCCTCACGAACGAGGTCCCGTTACATCATTGGTAGTAGATTGCAAGTTGATTTGACGCCCTAGAGATTCATGGTTGCAACACGAATCCACATTACTCAAGGTTTATTGCCTCTCGAGCTTAAACAACCACCTAGCTAGTCTAGTATCAAAAGTCATGCCATATTGGCCATAAAACAAGAAATCACCACATACCACACCGTCACATCTTATTCTATCATTCCCAACACAGCAAAAGTTCTACGGTACTATGTGGTGACAGCGTTACAATTCTCCCTGTTTCAGATCAGGGTCCCCTATATCAATTGATCAATATAATCGATGCTGGTTGGAAATGCGCTTTGCCTCCCAGTGGCAAAGTCACTGGGCCACGCATCATGGTCAGTCAGCCGCATGTTACCATTGTGGAGAAGTGACTTTGCCACTATAAGTTGCTGCCTAGACAATATTTAATTCCACAATATGTAGGGTCCGTCATTACCAGTGAGTGTGTACCCGGTTATAACCCTGGTATCGATATATAATTATCAATTGTTAGACTAGATCGAAATAATCAATACTAGGTATTGTAAGTAGTCATCTATTTCTACTCTAAATGGTCGAGCATTTGATTGGCTGAAAGGTGCAGTGGTGGTTTAGTAAGCACAACACGTAAAAATACTGAGCACTCACGGAAGGGAGTGGGTGGAAGGGGAAGAGGGGGGGGGGGACGAAGGGCCCCTCTTTGAAGAAGTATAACTCGCGGGCGCGAGGTACGGTGGGCACTGCTAGTCTATAAGTACTTGCCTGTCAAATAAGTTGAGAGGTCGTTGCTGCCAAGAATACTCAAGACGCGTGAGTAGCAACCATGATATATATTATGAACGCCGCTAGTATTTAAAGGTGTACTTAGATCTATATAGAGGTATTCCAAATTGCAATACGAGGCACTGAAACGTGGTAAAATTGAAGGCGAGGGCTAGTAAGTGTTGTAGTCTTTAGTGTGCATGAGAGGTTATGACTCCACTTTTTATATACGTTTACCATAAAGGGTTTGAGTACCTCATGCTCATCGATCGCAGTTCGGACTTCTGCGGCATCTGGTAAGCATGCAATATGAGTACGTACCATAATGTGCCCGATAGATGGCAAAGAGGGGCAATGGTAATAGTTAGTGAACTTTCTGGCGACGGCTAGTCATGGGAATATGGGGAGCGTGAATGAGCGCAGATGTAATTTATCAGGTACTTACCTACTGATCTATGACATTTCAAGATCAGCCACGCCGCCAATTCTTGAAAAGAATTGTCCCCAGTACGTGTAGAAACCTTCACTGGGGTATACGTATGGTCAATATGGGAGTACGGTCAATCTCAAATATACGTCGGAGTGATCTATAACTCCTTTGGGTGCTCATTCAAAATCTTGGAATTGACCACACCTCGGTGAAGGCGTGTAATCATTTTTAGTTGACAGTGCATAAAAATTGTCTATAGAGCGTATTTACTAAGCGTTAAATCTGATAATAGTCACTTTTCCACTCTCCAAAGGGGCATCTAAAAATCTCAATGTTGTATGGAGTCGCTTGGCGAACTCTGAAATACAGAAAGGATATCATGTACACTCTCCAGACAATATAGTAGCTGACATCATGATATGCATTTCGTATCCTACTAGTGTATGTTACAGGTTACATGTGGAACTTTTCAACTTTAGATTTACTCCACTCACACTTTCCTTCTCTCGCCGTGGAGGAGAAATGTCAATCTTGCTTCTGGCAACATACCGTTAATTTTGAGGTGTCAGTCGTCACAATTAGCGCTTAGTAAGTACTCTCTTGGTCTTGGAGCAGTCTCTCGGTCCCCTAACCCTACAACCGTGCCCCTAACCCTGTATTGATATGATTGGCTAGTTAATTAATTCATTCGATTCTGAAATTTAAGCCCGAGTACTTTTTATTATCGCCGATGCATGGGATAGACTTCTCCTGGGGGGAAATGGCATGATATGAATTACGTCTTGGAGTGCTTGTGTAACTATTATTTTGCGCGTTGCGAGTCAGAGAACGTCTTTCCTATCTCATTGGGGATTGTAATAAGTAGCGCCAAGATCCTGGTCTAGGACTAAATCTAGGTTCGATTATTTGTCGACCTATGAGAGCCTAGTTAGGTTCCCAAGCTAGCCACAAAGGACCTTAACGATGAATATGTTTCCGGCAAAAGCAAAAAGGAATTGTTTGGTCTCAAGTCATGGACCCTCGTAGGCCCCTCGCTTGAGTCTAATCACACATTCATTTCGAGGATTCTAATACAATTAATTAATTACCACTTTAGGCGCTAGGATCCGTAGAAGCTGCCAAGAGAGAAACGCCAAGATATCCCAACTGGGTAATTATGACATTCTACTAATATCACTTTCGGCTAGAAACTATAGGATTAAGCAATAATTTGAACCGACATTTGGTGGGTCTCTGATCAACTTCAAAGTTGAACTTCACCTCAACCACGACACTAAAACCGATTATTATTTACAGGATTGTAAAGAGTGACCAACGCATTGAGCTTCTCTGTGGTGGTGGAGGAGGTCACGCTAATAATTGGGGCTAATAGTGCCCCCCTTCTTTGTAAATTAGACTTTAATATTGATCAATTGAACACTTTTTAGTGCTAGCTTCGCTGCCTAATTTGTGTCGAGGTCACGGTTGGCCGTGCTATAAATTGCCATGGTCAGGGTTCGCAACCAAGAAACTCTGCATTCGGCTCTTCTTCCTTAAATTTCTAGGCAGAGCTCTCAAAGAATGGTTGGATTGTTGAATGGGTCATTGAAGTCGATTGAAAAAAAGATACATAAGCACTAGCGGGTCATTTTATAAATTTAGACCGGATTTGTCTGTTTGCGTCAGTAGGAAACCTTCATCTTTCAGCTAAACAATAAATAATGAAATGGCCTACAATGAGAGGCCGGGCGAGATACAAAGGATCAATCCGAAGAAAGTTATCTCATTCGAAAGATAATAAAATAGAGTGTGGCAATTGGCACTTCATCAATCTGCAAAGCGGCATCCACATGTCAATTTTGGATGGTATCATTTGCCAGCCTGTGAAATACGGCAAAAAAGGTATCAAGTACACTTGCCAGACACCACAAGTTGACACCATGTCCCGCATTTCGTATGCTCCTGGTGTATATCACAGGTAGCACGAGAAACTGTTTCATCTTCGAGGATACTCCAATCACACCTTCCATCTTTGGCTTACTCGCCATGGAAGAGAAATGTCAATTTTGCCTCTGGCAACTGTCAATTTCGAAATGTCCATTATCAGAGCTGAGGCTTAGTAAATCGCTTTAATGCCCTGCGTATAAGTGTGTGACTGCGCGGGTAACGACCTGTGGTTTCAGGTGAGCTCGAGCTGCAGTAGCTATTATTGCTACCGCTTTTTGACTGCATGATAGAATGCCACGATTCGAACATACATGAGTGCACTACATTATGCATGATATCGTGTCTCAGGGGAAAGCAGTGACTATTTAAATTCTGTTTTCATGACACAGGGCCGCACTGCTCCTTTGGTACACAAAGAATCATAGAATTGGAAATCTCCGGGCTTCAGATTTTGGGCTAAATGGGCTAGATATAGGAGGTGGGCCGATGAAGGAAGCCTATCCCTTAAACTGTCCCGAGCTTCACGGCTTTTTAGCGCTGGCGATCGCCCCAAGCAGGAAATCAGGACTCCCGGGAGAGGTTGATACAGGTCACAACGCTTCACGGCTAGATCTAGAGAGGTGCTATTGATACCCAGAGCGGCATTAGCAACAAATCAAATCTTAATGTAGTAATACTGTTGCCCACCATGGCTAAACATTCGTACCTTGGAAACAGAGGAAGGGATTGAATCTCGACGCCACTTAGCTTAGATCGGTGAGTTGTTACGGGCTCTCGATCGGTCAAACATGTGTAGGATCAAATAATAATATCTGGTATGTAGTTTCCCGAGTTTTGGCGGTAGACGGTTGTTTGGTGGCGTTTGAGTGGTCGTTTTCTTCAAGGTCGTAGTGCGTGTTGAAATCCTTTGTTGCCTAGTAGAAAAGCGGCACTCGTACCAAAGGATATAAAAGTGGCTCAAATTCCATTGCAGATTGGCGTAAGTACAGGTTGAACGTCACAGCACAACATCGAAAGCAAATATCCTTGTGCAACTACCATATACCAACAAGATGACAAAAGTCTCGTACGAAACCCAGGCTTACAGCCCGGCATGCTTCGACAACCTGAGGTACCTCGACGATGCCCAAAAAGAACTGGAAAGTAGAAATTTGACCCGTGAGGGTCTCAGGCCAGTCAGGTCAGCACTATCCGAATCACGTTTGTTTCTTTTCTCTAACATCATATGCGTTCAGGGAGCTCTTTCACAAGCATAATGTTCAAAAACAACTTGGACTCACAATTCTGCACCGTCATTTCAACATGGCTCCCAACGAGAGACTGGTTGAATATGGAAAAGTTACCACCCCATGGCTCCTCGAATCCGGCGAGATATTCGGTGGAAAGATTGTCCCAAGGGGTTGGGCACTACACCAGGGAGAATTATACCCCACCGAATTTGGCTTTAACCCACTCGGAGACACGACCTATCCGGACATCTCGTTTTCATCTGAATTCGTTAGCGAACTCAAGGATTTGTTCTCTAAACTCAAGCTCGATGATCTTTTTGGGTTGACGGTCCTTGATAATGGAAACCCCTTGGAGATGCCTGGTGTTGAAAGGACTATTGGAAGGGTCAGCCTTAATATCCCGTTCCAGGAAGGGGGTTCAAACAACACCGTGGAGGCAGTTTGGACCTTTGGATGTCATGAGAGCTTGGATAATTCAACTGTCTGGCCGGCACGTATTTGTTGGGTTTGCAAAGAGTGCAAACACAAGTAAAGTTGGGTTGATAGTGAGTACGGACCCGCAGGTATGACACACATGCATGTTGCCACTGGCTAGGAATAGCTATAGTCCACCATTGAACGATAACTAACAAAATTCTGTATAACTTACTAGGAGATATATCGATACCTTCTCCTTACTCTTGATGGAGTTCGCATATATCTTTTTCAACACGTTGGATCCGTGATACAAAATCCTCCTTTTTTTTTTTTTGTAAATTCTCACAAATTAATGTTTTTATCATCTATAATCTCATCAATTGTAACCAGGAGATCGAGATATATTTGATATATTCTACTCATGTAATTAAAAAGATTTAAACAAACATTTTATTTCACCTTGTCCGTCAACTAAATCAGGTTGCCATTCATGATTCCAAATAATAATCTTGTATTAAAAGTTTTAGAGCATCTCTTCCGCTTTAACTCTCCCAGCTTTAGCATTTCTTCCACCTTCCCACCTTAAGAATTCTCCCTCGCCATCACCACTAAATATGGATAATTATGAAAGTGCATCTGAAATGCGTTTCCACCTGGTTGCTGGAACTACCAGGTGGATTGTTGAGTTACGTTGCAATCAGACTTTACCGTAGAATCGTAGAATCACGTAAGCCTTATCCAAATCTTACTGAATCCTTATCTAGAATACAGCTAAGTCATTTCTCTCTGATAAGTGAGGCATAGGGATGCTCTAAGGTCTCCATACTAAGCTTATAAAGCTGAAACAACTCCTCACATTCCTAAAAGGTCTTTAAAAGCCTATATTAGTATTAGAAATAAGGGTTTTGTAAGGATATATATTTGCTTCTACTGGTTTGGCAATATATAGCAACTTCAAAACCACACATGATCAAGAGATAATTTGATTCTCGAGTCGTGAAGCTCTGGAGATATCTCAAATCTTAGGCATTTTCAGGGTGGCTAGGTTCACACCACATATATACCCCCATGCGTTTTAAAATCCAGCAGTAAATATCAAGAAGCTTGTCCCAAGAAAAAAATGAAAATAGTCAAAGTATCCTGAGAGCAAATATTTCTTCTGTGGCTCCCGTAAACACCAAAGACTGAGCACTAGGTTCGAATCCGGGGAAGCGATACAGGCTGGAATGTTTTATCTATCTGGCTATTCATAAACTGTAAAACACTCACCCTTTGAAGTTTATGTGGGAGCCGTAAGTCATGAAAGATTGATTTAGATCCAATAGTTGATCAGAATTTGATAGTACATATTAGCCACAATTTTTTGCTTCTTTTACCCCCACGAAAATATCAGTATTCAATTAGTTAGCAGCTTAAGGAATAGTTGCAGCTGCAGGCTGCAGCCCATGGAGACATTTCCTTAATAGGGTGCCATATTTGAAGATCTCGAAGTAAAAAAATAAAGGGTGCTAGACTTATGTAGGAATGATCACAGCACTAGACCTTATGATTGAGAGCCCGGATTCAATGCAAAAAATACAGTCCAGAGAATCCTTGCAAGTATGGGTACCTCTGTGAAACGACTTTGTTTGATTGGCTCCAACTATATTGCATCATATACCGGAGACAGAGCGCCGGGTTAAGCTTAGTAGGGCCGATTTTGTTTGTATTAATCCTTAAATCATTATCTGACACTCGTGTCAAGAAAGTCAATGTCTAGGAACGTAAGGGCCGGCAAATTCTTCCCAAAGATAATATTTGCATCACAATTGGCTCTTTATATAAAGGAACTCATAGTGCAAAGACTCCAGTATCAATCACATACATTGACTTGGGCGCCAGTGCAGTGAGTAACAATCGCCGTCACATGTGTGGGTGGGAGGTTTGATTTGGGTTAGGTTGAACTCCAAATTTGACCCCTTCGCACCCCCAAATAGATCGATCATGGAAATAATCATTTTCACCCACTGGAATCAATTTCTTGGCGCCCGGAATTGTTTATTGATGAGACAAACACCGGCCAGCGACAGAAAAGATAACCATAGCGGCCGGTAATTGGAAGATGCGACTGCTCTCTGCGTCCATGAATCCAGTAAAGAGGTCATAGACCTTGATGGAAAAGCGGAAAATGTGGCGTGTTGTGTTGTCATACCCATGAGAACCTTTACCCCAATTAATTCTGGTGACGCAGCACTCTAGAGAGGCCCATCAGGTTTCTCCTCAGTGTGGATATACGAAGTAAGCTTTGATATAGATTACTCATGCCTACGATACCTCTATACGTCATTAGAATAGTTTAGACAAAAGGAACACCCTTTAACCCCAGAGACCTCGTCGTAAATCCATAGAGCTTCCCAGGGACCTTGAACAGATCTAGCGAGTTCTGTTTGATTTACCAGAGTTATAAGATCTGAGCGGTATTCTTGTAAAAAAAAAAACCTAAGAATCTGCCACCTATGCTCTAGTAACTTCTTTCTCCACTGCTCTTCATCCTATAACGTTTCTGGACTGGACTGGGTCTACCAAAAAATCTGGTTATTAAATGTGCGCAGTGTTTTCTCATATGCAGACACAGTCCAATCCGGAAACGGTATTATAATATCGCGTAAACCAGACATACGTGTCAAGAACCCGAGGACTGATTATCACGAATGCTAAGGCAAAGTTTCAGCTCGATAAGGGAAATCGTGGTTCGAACGTTGACTTGCTCACCCTTCAAATATTCCACACCATTATAAAAATAAATGGAACAGGTGGCAACTCTGGTAGTAGTCGAGTGTAGAAATATTGATAGAGCGCTTAATTAAGCTCATCAGGGCTCTGCAGGGAAGAAAAAAATATACCAAAGAAAAGAATATGCAGCAATCAAATCTTGTTGGTCTGATATCTGGTCACAAAATTGCCGGCTTCTTGATATTCTTCCCCTTGTAAAAGTCGAGTGAGCTTGAATGCTCTAATGCTTGCAATGTACGCACTGTTGTAACAATGTGTACGTCACGACACCTATGCAGCTGAATGCAGGGAGTGACGTTTCCAATATCATCCCCCCCACCCTGAGTGAATATCAACGCTGATTCAACGGTTGCAATGATTTTATTAACGCCCCTGTCTAGACTTGAATTTTGCGGGATCTTGATTGAGCCAATTATAGGTTAACCAGATATTATCGGTCCTCGAGCCCTCACCGTTTGTCCCGTAGATTTCGAAGATTAAGTCGTTTCCCTGGGTACGAACTGCAAAATCACGGGTTAGTTAGACTTTTACCGTGGAGATATATATATAAAAAGAAACCTACTGTGATGCGATAACAGCGACTGTCTGAAGCCCCTATGAGCTTTGAAGACTGAAATGTTCATTGGGATCAGATACGTCATGGTGTCAAATCTCTCTGACGACCTGTTTAAATGTGGGTATTTAAGTTGTGAACAAATAGATCAATAAAGATGATAATTTGCTATTATGATGTGTTTTTGTAGACCAAAGGTTTTTTGGATTATAATCCCATGGCTGGCTGGTGAAACGTACTGATTCAGTTCAGGACTTCCTATCACATGAGAACGTTCTGGTTGTAATTTAACATCTCTAGAATGGTAAAAGATAATTATAGAGTAAGGATGGATGTGGCTTAGTAACTTTACCACTGGAGGCCTGCTACCGGAAAACTCGACAATAACAAACGAGGCCGGGCTGGAATATAATACTGTACTCTGATTGGTTAAAACATGTAAATTTATTCTTTTGGCGGTTGTTATTGAGGCTCAACGCCCATTCGACAAATCAGAAAGCAGTGTTCACACTGTAGCCCCTGTCCAGGCCCTTTCTTTATTGTCCAGTTTTTGCCGTATGGTAGGAACTCCTGAATTATCGGACTAAGGGATAATTCCCCGAATCTTTTTGGCTCTTTAAGCACTTCGATCAGCCCAAGGGGGCTCCCGGAATAGGTTTAGAGCTAAAGAAGTAAAATCGACATTCGAATTCCTGATATAGCAATCTGTGTAGTCACCTGTGACTAAAAAGGTCGTGAATTGAAAAAGACGGAAGTGATACAAGTTTAGTGGTCACCGTTTCCTTGAAAGTAAATCTTTCCGGAATATGTTAAGTAGATATTGATAATTGCTGGGTGTTCGAATGTGCGAGTAAAACAGAAAATCACAGGACAGCCCGCACTACCGTGTTCTACTCACTGGCACTGTAGTGTATTGTGCCGTCGGGTTTATTTGCCGCTAAGTAGTAATTAGTCAGCGCTGACTATTCATAAATTTTATGTGATCAGAAGGGATTTGCAGCGAATGATTTGATATGACGCAATGAAAGCTATCTTTTGAGGCTATTAGTACTGAAATGTAGACGACATACTTGGATATTCGGAAACTCACCCTATTTAAAGAGTTAACATTCGGGAGGCTGATTGCGGCACCCCCCCCTTTTAAATTGGGCGTTCAAGTATGGTTCGGAGAAGACGTCTAATGGGCTCCTGCTCTTAGTGGGTCAGTAAGTTTTGATTGTGCTTTAATAATAAAAACCTTAACGTTTATCGACATATTCCTCTTATCCCTTTGCCAATATCAATAGCCTCAAATTCTGCTTTCTACGAAGCAGTCAAACCACACATTCATGGGGACAAGAAGGGGTAGATTAACAAGTGACTCTTAATGAAAAGGCTGTCGATATGGCATTTTCTGAATACCGTATTCAGGAATAAAGGCGGATATTGCGTGTTTGCCTCGAGATAGCGCTCGTAGAGTGCAGCCAAGAAAAAAGTGTTGGGTAGTGGTGAAACTCAGAGGGGGGGACGTGGGAAGTGGGCGAAAGACACTTTATATCAAGACCGTTGCCCGGAAATCAATACCTTAGGTGCATGTGCGTCGCCGGCGTCCCACGCCATAAATTGGCTCGTTTAACCTCAACCAGTTGTGTTAGGGTTCTTGAATCTTCAAATAGTTCTAGATCCAGCGATTTTTTGTATATTTAATATAATGCTTAAATTAAATTTTTCCGTCGCATGTGCGTGGCAGGGTGCAAGTACGCTGTCTCGACAAGTATAATGCCCGGTACAGTAAATATTGTGATGATGGCGACATCTCCCGTTCGTGAATGGATTCCCGGAAAATGTTCCACATGAAACCATTTATCTGAGTTATTTGTAAAAAATGACGTGGTCAGCTATACTAATAGCCCTCAATTGAGCCTTCGCATTTCCTGATTCATATGCTGATAAGCAAGTGAGTATTTAAAACACTCCCGCCGCTGCTCTGTTATCGGTACTTTGTGGCAAGGTCGCGATGATGGTATCCAGGACACTCGGGCGAGTGTGGCCATTATTTTGCTTAATGATCCATGTGACGTTATAATTATCAGGTTTCCTTTTCCAAATATGATATGCACACACCCTCCCACTGGGGTGGTCAGTTGAAGTGGTGGTGCTGAAGATTCTGAATACAGGCACCTAGGAAGATGAATAATCGGGATCCTCTCAATTATTGAGACCCAAGCTTCTTCTCAATTCCGTTTACAGTCGCAACCGGATACGCCGTTCTGGGAATTCCGTACGGGATGGTCAGGATACTAAAAATATACGGGATAGCAATTCAATCTGTAGTGGGACATAGGGCACCCAACTGGACTTTGGCAAGGGATCAAATCCGGTTGGCTTTTTGAGTTGCGACTGTGGAACTTTCCTGCGAGTGAGTACACTGGCGAACATTCGGCTCCAGGATCTAGTAATTAATGTTTGCAGCTCATGGCGTACAGAAATATTTTCTTTGCATATCACAGGTCTGGGTGATAAGTGAGGGGCGAGAGGCGGACCGGACTTTCAAGGTCGGTTGAGGTTGCAGTTGAGTTGAGGGATGGTAGGTGATGCGAGAAAGGGTCCATCTGGCCTCAGCCTGAATTGGCATGGAACACCCAATGACTCCTGAATGTGTAAGTAGCCCATTTGTAGTTGGCTGGGGGCATGCAGCCTACAGGAACGGTCTCTGCCACTGTGAAATCGGTCTGGTCCCCTCCGCTCACTCATCAACTTCAACCGAAGATGATTACCACTGTAGTGTCTCTCGTAAGGTTTCTCTTGTATGGCCAACAGGGGCCGGGAAACCAAGCGTGTGGATTGATGCAATCAGTCCTTGCGTGTCGTATGGGGGTATCCGCCAGAGGTGGTAATGCTTACGTGTGTGAGCCATTACCCGCAGTCCAGCTCGCAGAGCAAGACAAAACCCAGTCTGCATGCTGTTAGGCAGTGTTACACACAAACCACAGAACCAGCACAGTTTATTATAAATTGTCCCTCAACTGCAATGACATGAATGCTAATTTCATAGGTTAATATATCTGCGAACTAGGCGAATCATTCGAATATCCTACAGGTGAGGTGATCACTTTTTCGCGATATACGGATAGATATATCCCATTGAGTCCTACCGATCCCTCGAGAGCAACCATATCGGTGGTTTTGTTGGATAGGAGGATTATTTTGATCGATTCTATATTATCAAGCCCCCAAGATACGCACTAGCACAGAGGAGGGTCTTATTAATATAGTGCTAGTGAAGGCCATATTACCTCAAATGCGTGGTCCGCAGGATGGGCGCCTTTGTGGCTTTGTCTCTTCAATGCCATGACCTTCAGCCCAGCAACTGCTTTGCTTTAAGGCGTCTCGATACCGCCAAGGAGTGTTAGCTCCTTTTAAAATTCCAGTCTGGTCAATCACTGTAAGATATAAATTACAGTTCCATAATTGGTCAATCAAGCATTAGCTTTGCCTGATGCGGCCAGGGTATCCGCTGCCTAACAGTGTTCACGGATCCGGATGGTATCTATTTATTCCTTTGAACGATACCAGTGCTTGGCGGCCTCGAGACATCCAAAAACACCGAACCCCCACAAAATCTCGAGGACAAGGTGGACAAGGCCGAGTAGTCTTGAGACTACCCCCTGGCCTCACTTCGAACAGCCTCGATCGTGGAACAAGTTGGAATTGGAGTTCTGGATCATTGGGCATTTATCGACCGATCCGTGGTAAGGTGTAGTGAGTTTTTTCCTGTTGTGCATTCTGTTTTAATTAGCTTATGTAGGTAGGCATGATCGTATGAATGGCCAGATTGAAAGAAAAACAAAACACTAGCGGGTTTTATGTTACGTCATACAAAAGCAAGGTCTTAAGGTGCATAGGCGATATAATGAAACTCCATAGGAGGGTTTGACTCGTTTTCTACATTTAGAGCACTCATTTCAGTCGACTTTGCAATGAACTAATGGGCGTGAATCGGCTTCATGAGATGTAAACATCTCAATGAATGAGTGAACTGATTTGCAAGTTTGTTGTATTCGTTACATGTATTTTATAACGATCCCAGACAAAACTTAGTATTTATAAAAACTAAATCTTTCGTGAAGTAAGGAAAAGATATCACAATACCTAAGCTCAATGCCTTTACTGTGATGGTTGCTGCGTATATATACATGTAGCTATAGTGAACAGGGAGGCTGCTCGTAAGGGATATCGATTAGTACGAGACATGTACATGTAAGTACCATATGTGTATGCTTCCTGTATTACCGCACATTCTAATGGCAGAACATAGATTGTAAAGACCATAAATAATCAGAGCTGGTATCTGGGTCTTTGAATAAAAACATAAACCTATAATCTTAGCTTGCGTAGTTTCATATATTGTGGAAAGAAAGGAAAAACATTACCGGCCAGGGCATCAAAAAGGCTCTCTGTTTGGACCTGTTATTGCAATATATGACGCTGGCGCAGCCGAAATGGCGTCCTCAGCATCCCCGGCACGTATTCTGAGTTACGCATGCAGCAAGATGGTAGCGGCTGAGAGCACGGCGTCTTGTCATAGAAGTGGCATGAAGCCTCAATCTTAATATCTTCCTTGTGTTATCTTTCTTGCTTTACTTAGACAAAGCTCTCCGATGAACCTGCAAAATCTCAGGCTTATCGCTTTTCAAAGCTGCCGGATCATATACGAACCGACCCCACATCTAATGGCACACATGGCTTGTGACATGCCGGTAGCTGAGGGAGCTTTAGGATCTTTACAGCTTGTCCATACAACAGATTATTTGAACTAAAATATACAAATAACACACATCTCGTAACAAGACGCGTGTAATGAAAAATCAAGTAGTTGTTTAATGCACGTTCATGGGACTGACTGGGTAGGGCGCATCCGAGGATATGTATCTTTTGTTGGTGCATAGATATATCCAGCTGCCAAATGGTTGGGCCGGATACGACGGTAAGAGGTTCCCAGTGATGGTAGTTACCGAGAGCGTTCTGGCGCAATCTCTTGTGGTTTCTTTTTTTTATTTAAAGAAAGACCTACTATTTCAAAGCGTTGAGAATGCGCAAGAGACGAAGGATGGTGGCTCCTGAGTCCTGGCGTTGAAGGCGTCTACTGAATGTGTTGTACAATGTCCTGCGCATGCAGGATTGCATGATCTCAACCTACTGATAATAAATCCTTAGATAATTTCGTGCAATTGGATTATCATTAGACCCTGTGAAGGTTCTTTTTTCTGCTTACATTTTTATTCCCTCAAATTAAGCTGCTCATACTCCAGTGGTAAAAGCGTTATTGTTGTGTGTTGTGTGATCCAGTTAAGCTCTGGTCTAGCATGATCATGAGCCCATGTCAAGACAACTGGGTTCATAACAGTGCAGACTATCGGAGACCGGGTAACTACATATATTCTTACAAATCAAAGTCCTCTCGGCACTTGCCACTAGACATATTACGCATCAACCCAGTGTACTGAGTAGCGACCATCATGTCCGAATTACCTCCCTCCGAATTTGCGGCAGCACCAGAGACAAAAAAGTCGTTCCCGAAAGGCCCAGTGGTACTAGGCAAGGACGGAAAACCGTGAGTTTGCCTCTGGGAGAAGGATTCCCGGGAGTGTAGAAGACTAATAGTATTGTGAGACTGAAAATAGATGTCGCTCATGTACTAGCTTCCGGGACTGGACGAAAATGCATGCCAAAAGAAAGTCTAGTAGTCCTGCTGCAGCAGAGGCTTCTGCTGCTACTATTGTTCCCATAACATGTAAGGAACATCTAGGTTCATGTATTGGAAGACAAATACAGGCAATTGACATTCTATATAGTACCCTCTGACTGCCCTCCTGACGTAGAAACCCTCGGTCGCTCTACCTGGACCCTTCTACACACCATAGCAGCCACATACCCTTCGAGTGCCACGCCAACCCAGCAAACCGAAATGAAGAAATTCATAACGTTATTCTCACGGGTCTATCCTTGCTGGGTATGTGCCGAGGACTTTCAGGAGTATTTAAAGGAGCCGGAGAACAAACTCAAGGTTATGGAAGAAGAAAAGGGAAGAGGACACTTGAGCGGCAGAAGCGAGTTTGGGTTATGGATGTGCAAGGCACATAATAACGTCAATGTGAAGCTTGGAAAGAGCGAGTTTGATTGCTCGAAGTGGGAGGAGCGGTGGAGGACTGGATGGAAAGATGGAAGGTGCGATTGAGGGATGTCATCAGCTCATACCTGCAGTCGCCAAGCATTTACATAGATTCCCTAGACGAAAAATATTCTATTTTGTAGATAACTTTTAGAAATAAATGTATACAGCGTTCCCTATGAGCAGAGAGGACCTCCACCATGCAAAATATTTCTTAGCTACGGGCCTAGTACTAAATTGTGTATTAAATTTTATGGTGGAGGCCCTCTCTACTCGTTCCGTTGTGTGTTTGCTTCATAGGGAAACGCTGTATATAGATATCTAGGAGCATAAGCATCTCAGATTGCATCCCTGGTATCACGTGAGTTTGAGATTGAATCATACATTATCACCCGGCCACTAACTCTAATAATCTTGATTGTATGATTGTATGATTGTATGATTGTATAATTAATTGACCGACTGGCTCATTGAGTGACTGACCGGCTGACCGACCGACCGACCGACCGACTGACTGACTGAATAACCGACTGACTGATTGATTAGTGATGGGGGTGAGCCTGAGACTTCTCAGGAAACCCGTGAGACTTTTGGTCTCGAGAATTGAGAGAAAAGTCTCGAGACATCTCGAGACAGCGTGAATTAGCATAAGCGAGGTAATACTAGTATATTTAAGGAAATAAGTGGGTCATTCTGATGAGAACACTCTCATAAAATCGTCTGTTATAATCCAATAAATTGTCAGAAAAGGAAGAGAACCCAGCAGAATGTTGACCTCAGGTATCAACCCTTTTCATATAAATTTTCGTAGTTTCCACAACTAGATCTGCCTGTTGTTATTTCCACTCGAGTTTTTATAGCAGCGTATATTCAATACCAGACTGGATTATTGTGGTTGCAACGTTTTCATTATTGCTGAGAATTCTCAGACTTGGCGAGTCCGGTCTCGAGCAGTCTCACCCCCATCACTATGATTGATATGTCATTCATGCACGCAACCTTCCAGTTATGGCACTCACTGGTCTCTGCCTGTAGAGCTATCTCCCCTCTCTTTACATAATTCAAATGCCCCGTCCAATTTCTAATACTGTTCATTGACTGATTGACTTATCCAGCACATGCACCCTTCCGGATCCGGCTATACTCTAGACATTGCACTATTACTGATTGGTAAGTAATCGATTTTTATATTCATTGAGGGTAGCGACGGATACCGGGTTTCCATCAATCAATGTTCTAGATATCGCCCTGAGCGTCACCCCCCTCGACTGCCAATAGTCCCTGTACGTCGTGAAACCAGTTTCGTCGTTGCTCCAAAAGTACATGTAGCTGAAGTACATTAGTACACGCTACATGCATACATGTACCAAGTTCTAGTCTCGTTCTCAGACTGTGCACCATATGCGCCATATGCACAGTCTGGTGTACTAAGCTTCTGGAGATTCTTCGAATTTTCTCCGAAAAATGTCCGAGTGACTCGGGAGGCTCTCGGAGAGTCAAGCAGTTTGGAGAAATTCTAAGACCTCGAAATCCTTGGTTTTGTATGGCAAACTCGCAAGGATTTAAGGCTCAGAGAACCTCCCCTAGTATCCGAATTTTATGCTAGTTCGGAGTGTTTTCAGGGTGTGCTGAGCCCATACAAAATACCACCCCCCCCGAAAAGCCTCCCCGATAGCCCCTCTGACGCTAATATCCCCAAGAAAATAAGCCACTAAATGAAAAAGACCTATTACACCAGAATGCGCCGTATCGGCACATTATGGGCACGAGACTAATCCAACCGGCGATGTTCCACCCCGAATCATGAGCTATCACTCGCTCTACAACCCAATTTTTGGTGCAACTCATTTTGTCTTTTGAGGCAGAGAGATGGGCCATTGCCTCGATATCTTGCGCGAGATAAACGTAGTGACCGCTATTTAACTGGAGGGGTCTGAGTCGGACCCTATAGGCGAGTAAGCATCGTTTCTGTTTTTGTGCGCTTGATTGCTACGCACATGTGGGGTTGAAATCTGAGCTACTTCTTGGATGGTAACCGGTCCTAGCCCCTCGCGCTCATATCTGTCCCCGTACTTCCAGGTTGATGCGTCGTAGCAGGTATAGTGTCTGACAAAATCTTCCGGGCAGTTTTGGTCTAGTCATTACAGGCTTGGGCATGGCTGAGAGGAATGTGCGTGTTTCGGAGGTCCAGGAAGTCCACTGCCTACAATGATGTTCTCATATGTCATACTCAGAGGTCGAAGAAGCAGGTGGGTGGGTTCGGTTCGTCAGCCGGAGACATACAGGCGGCACCGACGGACGGCCCACAGGATTTGTAAGATCGGAGGGCGGGGGAAGCATAGAACGTTCCGGTCTGTACGCGGAGGTTTGCTGTGTCCCTTGCCCCATGGGAGAGAGGAGGATAATCTCAAGCCTTTGTACTCCTTTTCATCTCCTAGCCTGGATTCTTATGCGAACGGTGAGCCTGGGCCTACTTAAGGCCCCAGCTGAGATTTCTCCATCAAGGTATGTCCAGCTAGCTAGCTACCCGCCCCTTTCAAGCCTTGGCGTACTGGGCGTTTACAATTGGGCTTTGCTTCCCAATCGCTCATCGCTCGAAGAGATGCGGTGTCCTGAGTTCCGCTGAAGGACTGTCGGGTGAGGGACTCGCTGGTGGTTTGTTTTAGAACGGGTCAATGCTGTAGTTGTGGTGTTGTGTGTGGCACCCGCGACCAAGGTAGCTTTGATGAGCTAGTTGCTAAATACGTCACCCGTGGGGGTATGAGCTCTGAGCGTTTCAACGTGTACATGTCGACGTCCTTGCTTGGGTCATGGAGTATTCTTTGATTGATTTGGTTGGATTTTCGGTGCCCCGGATGGAGGCGTCACCAGCTTTAAATACCCAGATGCAGGTTTGGTTTTGGGTTCGGGAGAGGGGTGGGGTTGGGCGTATCGTCGTCTTTTGCGGCGGTTGATGCGGTGTGGTGCTGCGGTTTCTACAGGTGGGTGGGGGTGGTGGTGGTGGTGGTGGTGGTCGGTAGGTGGGAGAAAGCTGAGGGTTGATTTCGGGTTAGGTTTTTACCTGGAAAGGCTATGGGCAACGGGACGTTAGAATTGGGGCCGGGCTCGTGGGGTAAGTGCGCTAGTCCACTAGTGCGAGTGATACCAAGTGACGCAAGCCGCTGTCACTCCATTTCATTTCGCTTTAATTAAGCAACAACCACAGCATTTATATCAGTACGAAAAGAAAAAAGAATATATTACTAGCTACTAAATCCCCCACATTAAATCATCAATAATAAAAAAAAGACACCCATCTACAACTCCTTCCGATCCACCGCCTCCTCGCCAACATTCACACCACCGACTGCCTTCCCCTTCGCGGGCCTCTGCTTCTTCTCAATGTCAACGGCCCACAGCGCCGCGCCGACCGTGTTCGTGTATGAGAAGAAGATCGAGGCGATAGGCACTAGCTGCAGCAGCATCGCTACGGTCCCGAATCTATCACACCGGCCTAGTTAGTACCACCACCACCACCGCCATCATAGCCAGATAGGGAAACGCAAAACTCACCCAATATACGCCGGCTTATTCCTCTCCACAAACACTGCCTTCTGCTTCGCAGTATACCCCTTCAGCTGGAACCACCTCTCATGAAACCCCGGCCCGTTCTTCCTCGCCTGCACAAAAATAAATATCACCGTCCCCACCACCGGGATGAGGTTTAGCGGCAGCCACACAAGGTAGCTGATCAGGCTCTTGAGCGTGAACTTCTGGAACGGCCGCTTGATGGTCTTTCCGAGCCGCTCCATTGCGCTTCCGGAGGGGTTGAGCTCTCTCCCGTTCTGTACGAGGCGCGTAAGTCCCTCTTGCAGGAGGACGGCGTCGAAGATGTCTGTGAGCGCTTCGTCGATGAGGAAGCTACGCGCGAGCGCGGTGATGATGGCGGCGGACTCGGAGAGAACGAGGACGATGGTGGTTAGCCAGGCGATGGGGCCGTTGACGAATGTAAGGAGGAAGGACTGGGGTATGTAGCTGTTTTTTTACGCTTGTTAGCTGTGGGGTTATTGGCGCGGGGAGAAGGGAGACGTACGTGAAAAGGAACATGGACGTGATGACACCGGCGCTGAGACCCAGGAGGGGTGCTAGCCGGGAGGTTAGTGGCTTCCACAGGGAGCGGTTGTGGGTAAAGTAGTATATCCCCTTGATGGGGTACAGGTAGGCTCCTGAAGCCGCAGCCTCTTTGCCGAGTGCGGTGACGCCGGCGATTTCGCCGCGGACGGTCTCGCGGACTGTGTCTTTTAGCGGCATTTCTGAATCTGTTTTTTGGGAGGATTTTCTTTCGAGGAATAATGGTATCGATATCGCTTTGCCTGCGCTGAGAACTTTGAGACAGGAAATCGAGGGTTTTATATCGATTTTGTCTGCGCTGGTGGATATGGATGTTGCGATGCTACGTCATTGAGCGGTCATTGGGTTAGGGTTTTGACATCTGGTTACAACGTTCCTGACGATGGCTTGGCTGGAAAGCTTGGCTACACGGGGGTCTTCCAAGGTTTGCATGGCCAAAGCACGATTTGGACGTTGGATGCTTGGCGATGACTTAATGTTTCTCGTAGAACGTGCGCTGGGCTTATTCGTTCTGGGGCGAATGCGAGAATGTACTGGAATATATGGAATATAACTTTTATCCGGGCCGTGCTATGTTTTTGTGTCGGGATAAATGGCGATATCCTAATGATAGATCTTTGACAGAACCTAGGAGTTGCAAGCGGCGTAAGAATTCGAACTCAGCGAAGATATGTACATACCTGCTGGGAATAGAATTTCAGAGCTTGAGGACCAAAGAGATGGTAACCACATACATTTGGATTTTCGAAGTAGATGCAGAATCGACTGGAAGACTGCAGTACGCATTCTTTCATCGATATTTGAGCCGGAAAACGTAGCGGACGTCCTCTAATGGATGGTATTCAGTCATATTAACCACTGCGAGCGTGTAGCATAAGAATTGCTGTGATGAGAAGACCATACCAGCTCTCCAATATATATGGGGTGCAAGAGTGGTTGATAGGACTCGATTAGATTAGATCTCTACCGCCAAGACTAATAGTGCCAGTTAAAAACAGAAAAACAGTAGATAGATCTGATCTGGTCCCGCGCGCAGGTGAGAGATCTAGAGCGGTTTAACTAGAGAAGTGCTTTGCCATGTTACCGTCGCCGGGCTATCGGCCCAGGGGCGGGTAACTAGGCCCGATGTCTAACTTCCTGCAGTACTTAAGCTTTTTGCTGCCGGGTTTGCATTTTGCTTGGATGCCCCTCCCTGGATGCTTCCTAAATGCTCAGTACTGCATGTTTGTGAGTCGTTCTAGGTTTGGGTTATATCTAGTACGTTACGTACATGTATGTATGTAAGCCCACAGACCTCCCCGGATTTGAATGAGGACATCGGAATATTGAATATGAAATATATATACAGCCACTCTGCAAAAGTGTTCGTGATTCCGATTTCGGAGTGAGACATTTCTCCATAGGTAACCGTGGCGGACCATCAAAAAAACCCAAGAGAAGACTTTCCCAGTGATCAATGGCGCCCGGAATCAATGAAGAACAAGATCAATGACCTATCTCTTTTTACACATAGTCACGAACTAGATCACATATTTTTCGTTGTTTTGAATCTCAACATTAATAACATCAACGTTACGGGTGCGCCACACTGCGCACTAACATTAAAACTAAATCACGAACACTTTTGATGAGTGGCTGTATATAAGAGCTCTCTCATCATGCATATGCTCAACATCAAGCACTCATAAGTAAATGGAAAATGGGGTCACTTATAGCGTAAGTAGAATTCAAAAGAGGAAAAAAAAAAGAGGTAGGGGAGTGGGGGGAACTCAGGGTGTGCACGTGTGGGATCAAAACGACGAGTGATGGCTCATGAGTCATGACTACTCCGACGGTGAATCGAGTGGATACGTTTAAAGGATTACTACATGTGCTTGTAATAGACTATACAAGAAGAAGAAAGGCGGGAGGTTGTTCTTGTTGAGTTCTTTTATGAAAGGACGTAACAACGTATGTACCGGATTTACTGGTGTCAGTAGTTTAGAGTTCTTACCGCCACGCAATATCGTGCCACGTGTTTAGGTGGCATAAGTACACAGTGGCTTTGATAATATTATGGCTCTGTTGGTGAAGTATAAATAAACCTCCTTCTGGCTTCTCTTCTTCTTGGCTCGCACGTTTCCCCACCGGCACCATCTTCTATATATTCGCAGAGCAGTCACCCATCCTACCATAAGACTAATGCATCACCACAATCTTGATGAATACACCTCGTATTGTGACAAATTTGTATGTCCTCCAATGGCGATGAAAATGTGGCATTTATCACACGGAGTAACCAGCCATGCGTGATGGTTTTCACATGTGCCGGCGAGTCAGAAGGTAGATTCCAGCAATCATGTCAGCCAAAAATAAGGTTGGTTTATTCTATCGTAACTCCATGGTATTATTCTCATCTGAACTTCCAAACTTGCAGACTGCATCACTAGATATCGATATATCCTCAATGGCTTGGCCAATTAATTAACCTAGTTAGTCGATTTGTGGAGAAACTACCCATCCTTGTCCTAGTTAGCGCCCGCGTGTTTTGACTTTATCCATAGAGTAGATCTGGAACTTAATCTAATTTCGCGTGAAATCAGCTCAGCCATTGGGCAAGTAGTCAAGGCCCGTCGGGAAGAGGCCCTCATCTGGAATGGCGCTGGGCTCAGTGTGGTAGGACAGGATCCGGGGCCTGACCAAAGACAATCAAATAAACACGAGAATACAAAGCTTTGCGTTCTTTCCAAGGCGATCATTCTCAGGAGTCGCACCATGTCCCTTGGAGTAATGATTAATTTGATTCGTGGTTCAGTATACGTATTGGACTTCGTATTTACTATCCTCATCCATGGGAATACCACATGTCTTAAAGGCCATATATCTGCGCCTAAACGCATCTATAGAATGGAAATATCTATTCAGCATCTATAGTATATATGAAGACACTTAAGGCAAGAAAGACTGGCCCACAGACGTACTTCTAATTAATTACCGAGCGGGTCGCGAACTCCAGTTGAGCCCACGCTACTCGACGTTCATGTACCACCTACTCTAGAGCACGGATGCGGAGAATTACGTATATCTTCAAGAGTAGATAATTGTTCCCCGGAGTATAAGAACCGAGGTATTGATCTCTTCTTTCTCTTATCACCAAGACGTTTCGCAAGAGTTATTTCATTCAAAATGAAGTATCTGACCCCTTGGCTTTGCCTAGCAACACTCGTCCTGTGCGGTGACCACGATGACATCTCGAGCCAGTTTGGAGCAGCGCGCGAGCTACGGACATGGGATGAAGCGTATGCTCTTTCCAAAACATTTGTGGCAAAATTGAATACTCTCGAGAAGATATCGCTGTCGTCTGGGTCTGGAATTTCCTTTGGGCCCTGCAGTGGGAATACCCAAGATATCGATCGTTTAGGGTATGTATTATATACATCAAACCTGTAAGGAGTTTTAAGAGCTGCTCCTAACAAGAGAATCTGTGAAGATTTCGTGAGATGTGTTTTCAAGATGGGCCAGTTGGTGTTCGCGGCACTGACAAAGTGAGTGTTTTCCCCGCGGGAATCACTACCGGCAGCACCTGGGATAGTAAGTACATACATATTTGCAAGAATTAATTCTCTTTAATTAATTAAACTTACTATTTTTATCCGTGTAACCTATGCTAACCTCTTTGCGTAGAGGAATTGGTATATCTTCGATCCCGGGCGATGGGGGTTGAAAACCGCCTCAAGGGTGTCAACGTTGCTCTAGCCCCTGTTGCCGGAGGACTCGGAAGGTTTGAACCCGGCCGTCTAAATTTTATTTTTCCGGGGAATTGACTTGTGCTAACAAGTTAGGGCACCGGCTGCGGGCCGTAATTGGGAAGCGTTTGGTTCGGATCCGTACCTGACTGGTGTGGCCAATGCGGAGAGTGTTAAGGGACTCCAAGATGAGGGTGTGATAGCTTGTGCAAAGCATTTCGTTGGAAATGAGCGTGAGTTTACTCGCCCAGTCCGCGACTTTGCAATGGAGGAACTGGATATTAATTCTAGGTATGCTTGATTAGAGGAGCGATATCGCCTCGTCATCGAGAACATACCCAATTTGGACAGACCAATATTGGCAAGTTTGAGCAGTCAGATCGATGAACGAACTCTCAGAGAGCTCTACGAATGGCCCTTTGTGGATGCAGTTGAAGCTGGTGCTGGGAGTGTCATGTGTTCCTACCAGCGGGTATTATTCCCCTTTCTCTAATATCTAAGTTCTAGTAGATTAAACCTTCAAACTAGGTTAACAATGAGTACTCTTGCGAATCAACGACCCTTATCCGTGACCACCTGAAGTCCAATGCTTCAGGTGGTCTAAATTTTAAGGGATTTGTAATGACAGACTGGTTCGCCTCTGCTATACCATCCCTTGCAGCTCGGGGAGGGGTGGATGTAATTATGCCTGGAGATATTGGAGCGACTGGGACTGTTGCAGCGTTACTTCCAGCTTCTGATGGTGCAAGTACAAATGGTACAAGACTGGATGAGATGGTGATCAGGTTGGTTGCTAGCTGGTATAAGATGCGACAAGAGACCAATTGGCCGAATGTGTCGTTCTCCACTTGGAGTTCAGATGAGTTTGGTTAGTACTTCCCAAGTATTACCAAGAACTATTTAATGATTGAAACATACATACAGGCGTATTTCTAGACCGTGGTTATATCGGCCAAATCAACTTTCATGTGCAAGCTGCCCAGCCCGCCCATGCAACTCTGATACGCAGGATTGCAGCTGAGGGCACCACTCTCCTCAAGAATACCGGAAGCCTTCCACTCTCCAGCACAGCTCTCTCAATTGGTGTATTCGGAAACGACGCAGGCCCAATTCCAGAGTCCTCGTGCGGGACCTTTGGGGCCTGCTCGGCCGGGACCTTAGCAGTCGGCTGGGGCAGTGGCACTGGTACATTTGAGTATCTTATTGATCCTTTGCAAGCAATCACGGCAAAGGCTGCGGACATAGGCGCAGTTGTCGAGAGTGTGCTGGATGACTATGCGTATACAGAGATCCAGGAGAAAGCCGCGGGAAAGGATGTTTGTTTTGCGTTTGTTAACTCCCGATCTGGCGAGGGAACTAACTCAGTTGAGGGGAACTATGGCGACCGTAATAATCTTACTGTAAGTGTTGCTTCCTTGTGAGGAGTGACTTCTTAGTGAACTAAATTGTTTTCTAGGCCTGGAGAGACGGCGATACGCTAGTCAAAACAGTTGCTGCCTCATGTAGTAACACAGTGGTAGTGATTCATTCTGTTGGACCCATCCTGGTTGAAGAATGGATTGAGAACCCGAACGTGACAGCTGTACTGCTTGCTCATCTCCCGGGTCAGGAAAGCGGGAACTCACTTGTTGATGTACTTTGGGGAGATGTTAACCCGAGTGGAAAACTACCATATACCATGGGCAAGACTGAGGATGACTACTGCTGTAAGGTTCAGTACGACTGGACCGGGTTCCAACCAGAGCAAGAGTTCTCGGAGGGACTGTTTATAGATTATAAGTGGTTTGATAAGAACAACATTGAGCCTAGGTTTGAGTTTGGTTATGGATTGTGTAAGTTAGCTTATGCATGGCTCTTTCTAAGCGAAGAGCGAGTTATGCTAACTGTTGTTGAAGCCTACACAAACTTTACTTATGACGCCAACTCCCTAACAATCACAGAGCCTTTCGACGAGGTTGATTCAACAGATTTCATGGCACCCCTCTTCAACATTAGCGTCTCGATCACAAACAGCGGCTCGGTCGCCGGCAAGGAAGTGGCACAACTGTACCTGAAGTATCCATCGTCGACGAACTCACCAGTGCGGCAACTGAGGGGCTTTGAGAAATTATCGCTGCAGCCAGGAGAGACGAAGACTGCGGTGTTTGTGGTCACTAAGAGGGATGTCAGTTATTGGGATAGCGGTGAGTGGAAGGTTGCTAGGGGCACTCAGTATGGAGTGGAAGTTAGCGCGAGTTCGAGGGATGTTAGGGCAGAGGGTGTAGTGACGTTTTAGTAGTAATCATGAGTGATCACTCGGCAACTCCTTTTCGAAATTAATATGTATGTGGAATTTTTAATTACTGAAGTATTGTAACTCCGATGATTTCTTGAATCCAAATCTATGAAATATTTGAACGATCTATTCTTATCTTACCCATATGGAGTCGCAAGAAACTCGCTCACGTGAAGACCCCAAAAGTAATGCTTTCATAAACCTTGTCCAAAGTAATATCAACCCTTCTTATATAAAACTCATGACATTCCTTACCAATTCCACTCGCCCAATGACGTCAAGCCTCACCACCATGTAGAATGTAGAGTACAATAGGCAACAGGCTATAATAAAACGCTCAGGAGTAACTCGCCATCTCGCCGGATCGACCACGCCAATATCCCGAGCGCTCGCAACAATCCGTCTCCGTCGGAGCACAACTACGGGGGGGTAGATAGAAATACTCTCCTGATGATGATCTGCAGGCCCCTCGGTTAGCTTTAGGCACATTAGAAATCCCAAACCCCTCCCCCCGCGCAGTACCAAGATACAGTGAATAGGCTAAACAAAGAAGCTTAATCCACGTTTTATGCATAACACTCGGCACGCTCCGGCCGTTCGCCGTCGCGGCCGTCGGGGCTCGATCCCACGAAAAGGCGAAAAAAGGCGTCTATAAAAGGCCCCTAGGAGCAAACTAGATACTTACTCTTCAAACCACAAAGCTCCCTCATCTCGAGGTATATACCAAACTTGAGTGGAAGAAAACATGCGTTTCAAGGCCCTTCTTACGACATTGCTGGCGGCGCTGCAGCTGGTGAGCGCGGCGACGTATACGAACCCGCTTAAAGACCCCAATGGTAGTGATCCGCATATTGTGTACACTGGCGGGTACTACTATCTTACTACGACGACATGGACGAATATCCAATTGACGAGGGCGACAACGCTGGGTGGGTTGAAGACGGCGACGCCGAAGGTGGTTTGGACAGATACTACCACTGCAAGGGCGGGGAACTTCTGGGCTCCTGGTATGTGTTTTGTTTGTTTTCTGTTTTGGCGGCGGAGGTGAAGTACTAGTGAGGGTGATGCTAATTGTGTGGTTTAGAGCTTCATTATATCGATTCTATGTTTGTACTCCTCGTTGCTGGTCAGTGAGTTAATGAGCGGAGTTAGAGACTAACGTATACCGCACAGCTGGTACCTCTACTACACTGCTGGAACCGCCGCCTGCTGCGACAACCAGCACCTCCACGTCCTCGTCGGTGGCTCCAGCCCTTGGGATACCTACAGCTACAAGGGACAGCTCAGCACCGTCTGGGGTATCGACAGCACCATCCTCCGCTTCCCCTCCCAGATGTACCTCGTCTGGTCACGCTTCTCCCCCAATGGCCTGCAGAGCCTGTACATCGCCACAATGTCAAACCCATGGACCATCGGCACGCCGTATCTTCTCTCGGAGCCAACGCTCAGCTGGGAGACGGTCAACAACCCGGTAAACGAGGGACCAGCGGCTATGTATTGGGGTGGAAAGACATATATTGCCTATGCGGCAAGTGATTGCTGGACTACGAGTTACCAGATTGGGCTGTTGACCTACAAGGGCTCTGGTGACCCATTATTGGCTGCTTCGTGGACAAAGACTGGACCGGTCTTCTCGAGCGCAAATGGAAACTTGGGGACTGCGCATAATGGGTAATTATTGCTCCTTTCCTTCGTTTGTTGGGATTAGGCTAATGGCGTGATAGATTCTTCATGAGTCCCGACGCGACGGAGGTGTGGAATGTATACCACGCCACAGCAGTCACTACTGGTGCGTGTGATGGTAGGAGGTACACCATGGCCCAGAAGGTGAACTGGAACTCGGACGGCACACCGAACTTTGGAGTTCCGCCCCCGCTATCTTCGGTGCTTGCGGGTCCGTCTGGCGAATAGAGTGGTTTAGTGTTGATGCGCAGCTTATGAAAAAAAAAATATGTATTGTTTATGAAAGAATTAATATAAACTTATCTTGTGCTTATCGATCGCGTGATATCTGGTGATTGTGGTTGTGCGGTTAATAGGAATAATGTTTTTCCGACGCGCGCTATACCCTTTTGGAGCAGTTTCGTTATTCGCGGTGATGTGAAATTCTGAACATTAGATCATAACGATAATTATGCAGAACCTGGCTCCTGAATATATATTCGTATCACTTTATAGGTAGCTGCCCCGTAATAAAGTCGAGGAGCTAGGGATTGTGACTCGATACTCTGACGGAGGCAGATGCGAGTAGTCATTTATCCTCTATGTTAATAGTTGCATGCGACTTAGATTATAAGAGACTACTCGTAGCCTCCTACGGTGTAGAAAAGTGTGCTAGGATAAGTAGATGTTTCGAGGGACCCAAATCCAGCTGGCTTGATCGGACAATTTCTTGCAGTACGCCGACTTGGTCTCCGTTGTAGTGTTTGCTGGTTGCTACTGTATGACATTGTATTGTTAGCCTATGGCGTTATTCGGGCACACACGTGCCTAACGATATTGATCATGAGATGAGAAGCTGGTTTTAACTCATCTCCAGCCTTGGATGAGGATGAAGAAGTTTTGAGAGTGTTATGTGTGAGGAGTTACAGGGAGAAAGCTTGGATGGTCTTTTGTGTATGCGGATTGCGGAAAGAGGTATGAAGGTTGTAACAAATATGTTCAAGTACATACATGTATGAAGCTATGCGATTCTTAGCGCCAAGGATAACTACATGTAAATTTACCCGACGGGATAGTATAGAAGGGCGTTAGTATAACTGGCGGGGTCAAATTAAGGTTCGTGACAGCAAGTGCATGTGGCGGGATACGAAGTAGGCTGAGAACACGCTACCTTCCCTGTCTCATCTCACCATCTATAATATATCTCGTGACGATTGAAGAACGGTTTTACACTTACGGCACCTGCCCAGTTGCTCATGGAATAACCGAAACCTGCGCCTACTGAGTTCTAGGGATGGCCCTAATTTCACCTATCACTACTATACTCGGATGCGCCCAGTACTACCTAAATGTTATTATGCTAATTGGGGCCTCTTCAAATTTCACTACAGAATCGAATCAACGCACAATGATTGAATACCGGTGAGTATATTGTTTGATAACTAAATAATTCCTTGCGGTACCTGCCCACATACATCATTCCTTTTCCCCCCAACACCCCCTTCATCTTTCCCTTCATTTCCCAGGCCATCGACCCCCTTTGCCCAACTAGGAACCACAATTGTTCCTCTAGAGATTGCTCACCACAAATTCAGCAGCATCGCTCGCATCCACACTATACGTCAAATGCGGCGCCAAAATGATAGCCGTACCCGCGCAGATCAAGTCCCCGGTGTGACAGAACGTCTTCACATGATTGTTCAAGGTACCCGGGAATGCATCGCCGTCGTTTGGGTCTCCGAACAGAACAATCGAGGACACCATGGCTGCCTCAGCGGTGGAAAGGAGAGCGGCGGCCTTGTGGGTCACTTGTGCTCCTTGGCTATGGAACTGGTTAGCTCTGCCCCTGTCCCGCTGGATTTGATGGGGGGTATCTACCTGTAACCGGAAAGAACAATCTTCGTAGTAGGACAGCTAGACTTAATAGTCTTGACATGCCCTGCCATAGTCGATGCACCAGCCGAGCTCCCACCAGCAAGGAAGCCTGCAACATCAGCAGGGTAGTCGACACCCTGGACTGCAACCTGGGTGCTCGATAAATCTGCGACGAGGGCGTTGAAGAATGGGGGACCCGCGAGAGAGCCAACGTTCCCTGTCTCCGTAGTACCTCGTGCGAAGATGATGGTCACTTCTCTGCAGACACCATCGATGATGTCGTTGCGGGTTGTGCTGAGAGACTGGCGGGGCGCAATTGGGGAGGCACCCACAATGGAGGTAAGAGCAAGGAGGAAGACGAGTGAGGAGAACATGGTGAGAGTCTGTGAAGGAGCTGTGGGAATGGGAGTTGGTGGGATGATGGAGTTGTCAATGGAGGGGAATTGAGGTCCCCTTTATAGCATTCCTACTGCTTGTAACATTCCTACTGATTATACTCCTATTGTTTGACTCTTCTTTGCCGGGAATGCTAACGGGTTCCTGGTAGAATTGATACATACCCACGGTGTTTCGGATCGTGACCCGTCGGGACTACCGAGGGAAATACAAACCAAACTCTGATCTTCCTCCAGTTTCTCGGCCTTGGGAGACGTCAAAAATAATCTCGTTGAGGCTTTGAGTACAATGATGCGCCACCAGGGCGCTGATAGCATCTCTAAACCTACAGCGTCGGTCGGCCAAATTTTACCCCACCCACATAATATCTACTATCTGCCTTAACTCTGACACTTTTCCCGGAATCTAGTGCTGTTATGACTAACACAAATAGCACTATAATATACCAAAAAAACGGTAAATCCCGTTGTGGCTGGAAGTTTCATATTGATCATTACCAGCGATCGTCAGGTGGTAACTTAGAACCAACGTTGCAGCACCTTCACGGGGTCTACTAACTTACTTACATAGACTATGCCTCGGCTTTATTACTGGTTTGTGCTACCCAAGTCTATTTTATTATCGCTGGTGAGATATTAAAGGCCCCCTTTGTGATCGCTGTAAAGTGGCTTGGTAGCTATGGTACAACTTGTATTGATATCGGCCGAGTGTGATTGGAAGTTTCCATGCCGGTCGAGAAATGCTGACAATCTTTTGTGGGGGCCGAGAGAGTTGATAATGCTACCAAATCCTTATTAATTATTCCGTCTGAATCGATCTCTGGCTAATCTCTTCTATGAGTTTTGGCCCCTATGGAAAAGGGTTGGCCTTGACGGACCATAGCATAAAGTAGCTTGTTTTATGTCTATTTAGAACTACTAGTGTGGATCATAATGGGAACGTTGATGGACGTTCAGGGATCCAGGGATCCAGGGATTCTATATACACACCAGCCAGAGCGTCCTCACCTCTGATATCGAAAAAGTGGCATAGCGAACTTGCTACCGGTACCCGTAAAATAAGACCACTTTCTCTACACTACACACAACTACCAAGGGTATTCCTGTCTTTCCAGCTCCCCTTCCAAATCCCCAAACCCCCCAAACCCTACCACCTCCCCTGCCAAGACCAACGCAGGGATTAACCCCACACTTTCCCCGCCGGGATCTGCCTATAACTTCGCCGGGGTTGCACAAAGGGGTATATAAAAAAGGATCATATACCCCCTCACAAAGACATGTAGCCTTGTACTCTAGTCGATCAATAAAGACCGACACCCCCGCTTTTGTGGGCGGCCGAGGAACTCGGTGGTTTTTTGCGGTTGTGGGGATTTTATAGGACGAACACATGGGGTTCTTTTGGAGTGCACATGTGAAGGGTGGCTAGTGGTAGTAACGGTGAGTGGTGCCTGTAGAGTAGGTAGTTCGGGGTGGGGTCGAGGGCGTGCGGTGTGGGGTAAAGTTATGCGTCGAGTAGCAACTATGGGGAGTCTAGGCCTAAAGCTGGTGGATTCTACAATCTAGTTAAATGTCTCTTGCTATAAAAGCTTTGCCCTGAAGTTTACTTTAAGGTTAAGTGGGCAGAGTCGCTCAGCATTTGCTTAGTTATCCTTGAGTCATCATCGTGCTGAGCAGCTCAAGCTTGAATGTAGAGACTTGACCGTCAAGCAGTTATCCGTTCCCAATTCGGGTGGTTTCTAGACAACTTCACATGAAGAATATGACCTAACAAAGCATATATATATATATATATCCCTGTATCAAATAAAGAATTCTGCTGTCTTGACTTTTTTAATTTCGTCGATTGCCTTTCGAAATTAAGTAAATATTGTGCGTCCGTTTTCGGTGGTAAAGAAATCCTCGAGCTCATTTCTCAACAAGATACCATATGTAATTTTGTGAGTATTTGCGGGAGATACGATTAAGGCGTCTTTTTACGTACAGCCACCCCCAGCTGCAGGTATGTGTCTAGAGTCAATGATAGTTGGGGCTGGATTTTGTACTAGCACGGTACATTGCTTCACTAGCTTGGTTCTGGTTGAGGAGAGTCCCTACTATCTTATCTTATCTTATCTTATCAACTCAACTACCAACTGATCCTGGTATTCCGTTATAGCTAGTGTACCGGGTTAACAACGGTAACGTAGGGCTAGTCGACCTTTTGTATCTCATCTTTTTGATTACTTCGGCCCCTATATATCACCTCTTACCATCTTTTTTTTTCTTTCTTACCGCTCAACTCTGTAAGAATTAGAATAGTAAAACTAACCGTATCTACAGTATATACGTGGTATTGACTCCCGCATTGAGTCGCGATCGACAAAGATCTCTAGCTCTAGTAACTCAATCAAAGGATTAACATTGACCCGTCTAGCTATATGAGAGTGCAGCTTCCATATACATGGATCTAGCTTTACCGGTCTAATTGAAAGTGTCCGTTTAAAGGATAGTTTTCATATTCCTTCTTGTTGACCACAACCTAGCTAAAATGACACGACACCGTGTGCAATTGATGTCAGGTATTAACTAGCCTGAGTATAAAAGATCTATTAGGCAACACTATAATTCGTAGCACCCTCTTTTAATAGTTTTGTATATAATTGGGAATGATGGCACAATTAATGCGGAATGGATATATACCTTTAATTCTTATTAATATTCCCAGTGCGTAGCGCTAATTAGAATCAAAATAAAACAACCGCGAAGAGTTCTTTAGTAATGAGAGTGGGCTTTGCCGGAAAGTTTAGATTGAGTAAATAAAAGAACTGGACAATAGTGCAATTCAAGCTCATTATACCCATGTTTGTAAAATGACAGAATTAGAGCCTTGGAAGATTCTGTTATCACCTGTAGTTTTATAGTTATAATCAAGGGAGAATTAATACGAAACCTTCCTATCTAACTATTCCAGTTCGAATTTTACTATTTTACATCGTAATCTTGAATTAAACAGACTGAAGTCCCCTCCTCTGTGCCTATGGCGGCGCCGGTGCCGGTACCGGTACTGGCATATTTTTCTTATTATACTCATCTACCAGCTGCTGTTGTCTCTGCACCCAGCGGGCGTCTCTGGGTGGATTATTTGGGTGTGCTGCATCGTCAACAGCCCGTACAGCGTCTCGGACGACTCTAGCCGCATCCGCCGCTACCCTCAGAGCAGCCTCTGCTGCTGAACCAGCCATCTGCTCAAATATTAGCGCGCCATATTGAAACTAAGAAACGTGTAAAGCCATATATACCCATCCATAGATCACAATTCTCGTAAGTACAAAATCTCCTCTCACCAGTGACGCTCGTAATAGCAGAAGTATCCCGGCCATACCTGGTGGGACGTACGAAAACGTATTTTCACGAGGTGTCGGCAAGGATCCATCACATATGACATGAGAGTATGGGGCACGAGTAGCTGCGTGCGTAATAAGAACATTACCTAGAGCTATGGCGGGGATATTGATAATATCGGTTCTAAGGATATGAACTGCCCCTGGTATCATTACATCTGGCCCTACACTGTGCTGCCCAAAGCGAAAACGTATGGTACCACCAAATGTATCCGTGGGGGCGATGTGCTAGAGGAGTGTTAGTAGACTATTAGTATAAAAGTGGGACAGAGCAGACAAACCCCTGTACAGAAAATCGGTCTTCTAAAAGCCATTTCAAATGGAGCCCCATCGATAACTGTCAGGAGAAACGCGTCCCATAATTCCTGAGTGTTGAGGGGGGTCCAGACGAAGACGCCTGGAACAAGACCGGTGTTGTAACAGAGTTGGGGATTCTCAAACTCCAATCGACGGCTTCTACTGGCGCAGAATCGTTTAAACTTCTCCAATTGAGTGAAATGGGTAGTCAAGTAAACATTGATGGTTTCCAATGCGGCAATATGAAGAGTGGTTAGCCCACCAAATGAGTTCACCTCCTCGTGGAGTATTATGGTGTTAAGCGCCCTGATATTGAGAGTAATGTTTACCAGTAATCTTTGAGCAGGATCTATGATCCTAATACCATTTACTATCGGTTCATGGATTCCCCAGTAGGTTTGTGGCTGCTCGTATACACCGCCCATCATTTGCCTGTAATCTAATGTAAACTCAAATTGGGGACCTATAAATTGGGATATATAAGCTTGAATTCCCGATTCGACACCTCCCAACGTATCCAGCATATTCCGTGGGATGGGATGATCGACGCCACCATGGGTAAAGGTGAAGTCAACCGCGTTCATACAGTAGGTCGGCCACCTTGATACTTGAATCATACTTGTAGAGTTATGATCTGCATTCCAAGTGGCGTCTAGATTTTCACAGAAAGCCACAAAGTCTACCTCAGAATCCAGAGGTGCAATACCCGTCGTTGTCATATACTCCAACTCATCTGTTTCACCCATCTGGGGAACCACATTCGGTACTCCCCCTGGCTCGGTCAAGTCATGGGGAGGTTCCTTAAGATATCTAACAAGATTCTGAAAACCCTCCAACAGGATATGTTTTGGGAGAGTACCAGAACGAAAGCTCAGATCTTTGCCTCCAGCCCCGTTTGTATGTTTGATTAAAACGCTAATTTGCGTGCGCCCCTGAGGCATTTGCTGTTTCTTTGAGAGATTTTCTGTCCTTACTCTGGTCTGATGAGTATTTATATACCAGTCGAGAGCTTGGGAACAAGGTGCTACTGGAAGTGAGCGTTCAAGAACCTTCGGACCAACGCTCACGTAGGACAGCACATTTTGTGGAAGTGCAGATTGCCTAAATCTTTTTCTGTTACGGCACTGGCCGGTTGGATCGAAGGCTCCATCAGTATCATATTCAGAGTCCGAGTGCTCATAAAGTTTTCGTTTATTTCGTTCAACATTACGGGTTCGTCGCACTTTGCGTGGTAGAATGCCAGACGTGAGTGGTAAGGTTTCGTCAAATGAATCGTAAGTATCGTTGTAGGGTGCATAATAGGCAAAACCAGCCTCCTGCGCCTCTCGTCTTAAATTGCGTGCCAGGGCTTCAGCTTGTGTTGCTGCTGTGGAGATTCCTGCGTGCTCCCAGAATCCTCTGTTTTCAGCGATAACAGGGATTTGGTAGTGATCTGTAGGGGCATCCTGGTGTGCTTCTCTGGATACCACTATTCCACCCTTAGTGTCACATAGCCTTCTGGCTCTTATCCTGCTTCTTTGTAAAAAATCCCCAGTACTTTTTGTCTGTGTGTCTGCTCCTGTTATTGCCCTAGAAACCCAGGCCCAAAGACCCTCGTTGACACACAATGGATAAGGCTTCCGGTGTGGAATTGGCCCCAAAACGTTAGTTTGGTTTGGGTTTTCCATCCTGTATCCACAAGCCTTCAAGTTATTGTCCTCAGCTGCCATTGCTGGAGTATGGTTACTCATCACAAATCCACCTCTACATCCAAGCCGTGGTCCTCTTGAATTTCTTCCCACAAGAAGTCTTGGCAAGGCACGTGCAAGAACTTGAGTTTCCAAAGCCTTTTTCCGCAAAGCGCCGGCCCCCAATGCCGCCGTATACTCTGGCGTCCCTTCTGCAAACGTGATAGTTGCCAATATATCCACCCCTGTGATAAGCTATCAGTATATATATAATAAACCTCATATAGGTCGTATATATCGAAGGAATGTTCCCTACTGGCTTGTGCGATATCAGCTGCAGAGATCTTTCCAAGCTCTGACTCCTCCCATGCAGCAACATCGGCCAGATCCTGCATTTTTGTACTATAATTATCGGAATGTAGTTAGAATATACTCTTTGCATCCTCTCACCCCTGTATCAACTGAATGGATAATTCACCTGTGGAGTATAACCTTATGATCTTCTGGCACAGGAATAACTCTAAACCCGCAATTACAAGTTACCCTTCCACTTGAATCCACCCGAGGTACGCAATCCGGTAACTGAAAAACCTCGGCACCACCTTCAGGATTGTTCCGTACTCTAGTCTCAGTGTTTGTGTAGCAAATAAGAATTGCACCGGCATTTTCTAGATGCCACAGGGCTCGCTGAAAATCCTCCGGATGCCTGGCTAACTGTTGTCCTATAGAGTCCAGGGAGTCTTCGTTGTTCAGAGGAGGTAGTTCCCTCTATTAGAGATATTAACAAAACGAAGTGAATGATGGCCGGGAAATGGTAATTTTTACTTACATGAATATTGAGAGTTGTGTGTATCCTTCTACGTGCTGCAGCGACGTTAAAGGGTGGGGCGTTAAGATCGCGTTTTTCAGCGCCTACAACACCTTCCGAAAGGCTATTAATGAAATTCCTCATGTAAGTTATTACAAAAAGTCCACAATCGGCACCGTTTCTACTCTGACGCCTGGTAACTACGTGGGTTACGGCACGTAAGGATTGTATATGATAAGCCCTGAAGTATGGTATAGTTTGACGCTGAGTAGTTTCCCATGCCAATACATCTGGTTTATCTGTGTGAGGTTTTAAAGCCCTCCTTTGTATAAGGGCTGCTGTCCGTTCTGGTGGGAGATCTCTGAGTATCCTGTTGATATTATGGATAAATCGAGCCGTGACAGGCCCACTCAAGCCCCCAGGAGCGACGGATTCATGTTGATAGACATGCGCCGTATATGAGTCGATGATAATGCACCACCAGTGGCGATTATTATTAATCGGTAAAAATGGGATTTCTGGCTCCAGGGCTGGCAGATGTTCCGTTTTTTGCCCAAGCACGTCTCGCGGTAGCATGGTTGCGGGGAAACGCCCAAAGTAAATGTCAGTTCGCGGTCTATTGTAGTAGTGTATGTATGTGAACACTCGCCGAAACATTCTTTGATATGCTGGGTACCCATAGGTGGGACCCTGAAGCGGGCGCACAGTACGCATCATGGGATCCACTTGCTCCGACCACCAGGTGTTGACAATCAATTCTGGAGGATCTGCAGCATTCTTGTTTAGTGGAGCAAGAAGCAAATTCAGAGCTGTCATTCCTGCCAAGCTAAGCACAAGGTCATGATTTATCCTAGGCCCCGGGACATAGGCTCCGCTTTCATCTGCTACTGATATTCGTACAAAGATAGGCAGTGTGGGAATTGGGGCTGGGTAGGGTAAGCTGTGTTCCTGGAAATCTCCCAAGAAAAACACCCAGTAACGTTGTGAAAACAATTGCAACCAGCCATCGGACGTAAAAAGATCGGTGTATCTTATGAAATCCCTATTCTCTCGTCTCCCATCCGTAAGAACCTGTTGGTGATGGAAAAGAGCCACGCTAGCTGGGAGGTCTTCCGCTACGCATTCTTCATTCAAATCAATGCATACTTCCGACATAAAAGCTCCGTCGAGCATTTGCTCTTCCGTGGACCTTCCGGTATAGGCTTCGGGAACCCTGTCCGGGTTTTGAGTTCCTGCTATCTGAAATTCAGCCTCAAGATGATTAGCGGGGTATCCCCTTTGATCGTCAACATGGTCTGGTAAGTTCCATGCCCCGAAACGTATAATCCTTGCTTGCCGCCCTTCGAAGGTAAGATTTTCAGGGGCATGAAAGTCATTGAAGATTGGTGCTGACGTTGAGTATTTATTATCCGTATTGTCATTCTCGGAAAACCTCTGGTTCATCCTTGACATTGCCACGGAACCCGCCCATGGTGTAGGGCCCCAATGATTGTTGGCCATCTTGGTGTCTTCCTCTGGTCTTCTTTTACTGTAAGGGTATTTTGCTCAAGTTGACAGGCTTGTAGGAATATTTTTGTTCACGAGGAGATAGGATGCAGTTGCACCTGGCTACAGTACTTAAGAAACGATTCATTACGGGCGAGATTTTGTTTTCGATTCTTGCTTCTTTGTTAACTTGACTCCACTATCTCTTTGTTTCAACCCACTTCACCCAGAGCTACGGCCATTATTCTTTACCAATTAGGGTTAGCCTGATGTTATAGCCATGTACAATGAATTCTACTCCGCAAGAAGGTCTTATGGGGGCATACCGGGGGGTCTATCATGTATCTTTCGTAATGGCAGGGTGTAGACGGCAGTTGTTGCTTAGATGGTACGCGCGGTACTAAGTCCATAGAAACACTGCCAGATCTAACAGAGAATAGCCGGATTGCCAGTGTGGAAACTCAAATGGTACTCAATACCATGAATCGATGGCTCTGGAGAGAGAATTTCGGGATAGCAGGGACTCTTCTCAGATTTAACGACCGGTTGGGCGAGGCTTCCTGTGGTGCCTTTGTTCAACAACACAAGAGGGAACACGTGCCAAGCATCGAGTGATGCAACATGCAACGCAGCATAAGCCTGATATCCTACGCCAAGGATTCACCAAACCATACTTGACTGCGGGAAGCAGTAAAAAAATAATCATTAGGGTAGGCTCAAATAAGGCAAATATCACCGTTTTGGGTAGTATATTGCTTATTCTAATTTCAAGTCTCTAACGACGAACTCCAGCGATTAAGCATTAGTTCACAAAAGGCTTACGCGGTGTATGATCGCTTATTTCAATATAAGGTATCTTTGAAAATAATGACTATATAATCTTTAATCGTGAAGTATTCTTTTACATTAATATACGTTATCTTAGCCTTACGGGTAAATAAGATTTTACAAAAATAAGCGTTATTTAAGATTTAATTTCATATATACCTCTCTATTAAATAACGATCAATACCTCGGCATGATTATTGGTGGATATGTATTATATTAGAGCACGTATTTATATTATTACTAAGCAATTACTAATCGTACAGTACAGTGCTTTTTTTAGTGCACCCCAACCCCCTATTGATTGCGCACCACACCCCTCCTTAGTGCACCCCTATTGCGCACCACACCCCTCCTTAGTGCACCCCTATTGCGCACCACACCCTCCTTAGTGCACCCCTTTTAGCATAAATCAGCAGAACCTAACGTCCCAATTGCACCACCAAAAGCGCCTATCTAAAGACGATTCTGACGGGTCAAAAGGCAGAATATAGAGGCGTTTTGACGATACAGCGGGTAGCCCGTATACTGCTCTCCGATTGGTTGATTTGAGCACCGGAATCGATGATATTGGGTCTAATTTTCCGGTGTCGTCATATATCTGCACGTGTACGAATAGGCGCTCGATTTGGTGCAATTTGTGGGTGAAGATATACTCGATTTGGCCTACTAGTGGAGGTGTATCGCCCTGATTTGGTGCTCTTAGGGTAATATATGTGCCTTTGGTAAACCCTATACGTTTCTGCTCTGTAGGATCGACAAAGGTGAATCGCTGGTAGTAAGCATACGGTTTAGCACCCAAATCGACGATATTTGGGCGCAAATAGTCCCTTTTGTACGCTAATCGGAGAATATCGTCAAAGACGCCAGAAGCACGTGATTTGGTAGGTAAAAGGGCGGTGTTTCTGACGTAATTGGCGGGAACTCGACCCAAAACCCTGGGATTGACGTGATTTGGTGCTGATTCTACCCCTGTTTCTGCTTCCTCTAGATATTGGTGTGAAGACGCTGGTAGCAGATATTCGATTAGGGTAGGGCACACCTTCTTGAGATCAGCAAAGGCACGTGATATCTCCGGATTTGACTCCTCGAAAGCGCCTTCTAGGACAAATCTAACGGTCTTTTTCCTACCGTCGTGGCGGAGAAGATGCAATTCAACGTCTTTGTGGTTGGTGTGTGTCACCTGACGTTTGAAAAGACGGTGATATTGCTCTCCGATTAGGACGTTGGTATTCCAGATAGTGGCGTATTGCCTGCAGTAATCGTGATAATGCACTGCAACGTGGATATTTGGTCGATTCAGCCACCCCCCGAGCACGTTAGCTGACGCCTTTGGTGGCTGAGCACCCCCTAATTGGCTCCCAGGCTCAGAGATATCGTCGTCTTCGTTGATGGGTGCTGGAGAGGCACCTGAGGAGGAGGCACGTGATGCCACACCACCTCTGCCCCGCGTACCTGCGCTAATCGCGCAATTGATCAGCCTAAGAGACAGAGATCGGCAAATTAGCGTTGAAGAGCTCATATTCTGCACGTTATCAGCGCTCAAGCAGTGCTTGGTAATCAGGGTGTAGCTCGATGCTAACTGGCTATAGACCCTAGTCACGATATCGCACTCTTTTAGGCGCAAATCAGGACTCAATTCTGCATCATACTCTGCTCTGATAGCACGTAATAGGGCAGGTTGGAGGCGTTGATTTGTCAGCCAGGTACGCAAAACCATCGCCGTTATGACACAAGCCCTGCTTTGCTCGCTCAAATCCCAGGAATTGCGATGACGTAGGGGGTTTTGCACCCTGCACCAGCCTGGTGGTAGGGCTTGCTTCCGGAAGACGGAGGCGTATGCCTCACGTTGATTGGGCAACAGGAGATTGTCGATCAAAAGATCCTGAAGTAAACGCCCTATTCCGGACATCTCGGCATGGGGGGGGTCAGGCGGAAAGCTCCTACACACGTCAATTGCGGGAGCTAATGACGTCAAAACAGGGGAGGGCAGCTCGTTGATACCCAGCGCTCGGAGATGCGCTTTGCGCCTAGTAGGCGGCATATCTGACGCTTTAGTCCTAATATCTAGCGTCACGTGGTGATATCTGCCTCTTTTGGTGATATCGTAGTCCAAATTGCCGTATTCTTTTGATGGTATTAGGCAGCTTCTGCACCCGAAAGCAGCGTTTTGGCGCAGGAAGCCAGCGCATTCGTTTTGCTGAGGCATATCACCTAGATACCCTAGCGCAAATGACGACACAAACGCCTCCACTAGCGCCTCCGATTCGCCATACGGAATCTGCATTATTACCCCGGATTCGAGCTTTTTGGAGGGCGTTTCCAGGCACCCTAAAACGTCGCGCAAATCGCTACCGTGTGGTCCAAGCGTCAGGGGAAAGACATTAACGAGCCTGGTACGCTCTCTGATTGGTAGGTTAGACGGTATCATATATACCCCTGATGCGCATCAGTCAGTACGGTAAATCACAAAGGGGGGGGTATACGCCATACACCCACCTGTCAGCGATCTGTACATATTGCGATATAAGCCAAAACCGTCGATAAACGTCATCTGGGGCATGCATCTGATTGGCCGTTGCCCTGCACGTGATACAAAATCACGTTCAAGCACCTGCCTACCGTACGCCTTGATTTCGAGCTCTGCCCTGACTGGGTGGGTAAGACGTACTGCCCTAATCGAGCGTTTTGATAGGTTGATTACCCTGCGTATATTGATTAATGCGGTAGGGTTGAAGGCTTGGTTTGGAGGCGGAGGTGGGGGCATACCGTGATTTGGTGCCTGGCGTTGATTTGGTGCCTGGGCTTGATTCACCCGCATACCAGCGTTTTGACGTGCTGCCTGACGTGCTAACCTAGCACCCTCTCTAGCAGCCTCTTGACTGCCGAGCAATTCAGCCTCTTCAGCGAGGTCTCTGTCGTCACGGAAATCGCGATCAAATGTGACGTTTTCACCTAATCTAGCGAATATCTGATTGGCTGATATCAACCTGATGTCCTCGATTAGGAAGCACTCTCCAGGGTGGGGTGGTGGGTGCGTCACCAAAGGCTTGATATCGTCAGCCAAATCGACGTATCCCATGACGGGCTCTAAATATACGACGATATTGGGTGTGGTAGGCGCACCGGTGGTAGGTGCACCGGCGGTAGGTGCACCGGCGGTAGGTGCGGTACGCATGTCTTGGTAAATGCATCGTACACGCCCAGCATGCAGCATATTGGACTCTCGATACGTGACAAAATCAGAAGGAAATATGGGAGAGCCTGTTGATTAGTCAGTCTTGATTTGCTTAGAATTGGGTGCAATTTAGGAGGGTGTAAGACCGTCAGGATATCGAGCAAATACACCACTGCACGTGCGAATAGACTCCGCCCAAGCCTCTCCGTGCCACAATTCTGACGCCTCCTCCACCAATTGCGCCATACCAAAATGCATGTGCTGCCTCATCTTAGAGCGTAATATCGTCTGTGTCAGCTCGATTGGGTCAAAAAAATAGGCTTTACCAGCCCCTGATTGACCCGTTGGCATCTTATCTAATCTGAGATCGATCTTGCACTCGTAGATTGGCGGTGCGGGTATCTGTGCCTGGTAATGGTTTTGGAGGGTGTCGAGCGTATTTGGGAGGTGTTTCCAAACATCCGGGTTGTCACGTGCTAGGTGTATTACCTCGAGCAAAGCAGCGTAATCTGGGCGACTAATATTAACCCTATCACACCAAACAGCAAAAGCAAAAAGAAACGGGCTCATTGGGTGCTTTGAAGTAGGAGGTTTCCAAGCAATCGTCGGTTCAGGCACCGTTTCTGCATCTCCGGGTGCCTCCGCCTCCTCCGCCTCCTGCAAAACGGGTGCTTCTGCCTCCTCTATATCGGCGTTTTGCTCTGCCAATTGCTCGGTCCAAACGGTGTTTCCTTCCAAGATATCAGGGCGTCCTTCGTCATCAGATACCACCGGATATTCGTCATTATCAGGCTCAGAATCGGGCTCTAAATCTGCCTTAGATTGATGCTCAGATTGATGCTCGTGCTCAGCAGGAGGCTCGTCTTCGTCGTCCTTATCGGCATCTGGGGTACAAAGGCGCTCCCCGTCACGTTTGCGCTTGCCTAACGCGTGTATAGCCCTACCAGGTAATGCTAGGAATCGATCGAGATCAAGGCCCCTATCTGGCATACTGACGAAGATTGGCGATGGT